TTGCTAGTAGGCTTACACAAAGAGAGACATGTAGGCTGAGTTCATGATGAAACACTTATTCTTCTACTAAGTGGATGGAACCTTGTTGACAATATTCAAATCCTGGATCTTCATATTCAAAGAGACCCACTAATGACTCCCAAGATGAAAGTTATCCTATAGATGCAGCATTTATGCCTACATCAAAGCCTTATTGACAACTTGGGTTGTAGACAACTTGATGGATAATTAGTTAAGATTCGGTCCCATCCTTCTAGGATCTCAATCATCGTCTATTGAATTTTGAAAAAAATAAGTTGTCTTAGAATCTCTATCACATGTGCCAATATTAAGTGAGAAAGTTTTGCATTGATCAAACTTATTTTGTAATTGTTTTTAGATGGGGTTGGACTTGGTTTGATGATTTGTTATCTTATTTTATCAACTCAACTTTGAAAAACATCTACTTTTAGTGTATGAGTAGTCTTCCTTCTTTGGTGATTTGAGAAATACAAAAGGATAGATGTTCAAGACTCTAGATAATAAATGTGTTCCCACTTTAGGTCTCTAGTTGGATTTTTATTATTTTTATTTCTTTCATTAAAACTTGAATATAAGTTTGAAGGTATCAAGTTGATTGATCCCTAGAGACTCCATTGTCCTTTATGTAGGCTTGAAGTATATTGTCACAAAATTTTGATGTGGGTACTTTGATGTAGGATGGATTAAAAATGACTAAACTAGCCTTGGATAAACAACCTAGTATGACTCACATTGGATCTATGAGTCTAAAAACATTGACTAAGATACAATTTATTAGTCTTTTAGAAAAAAATAAATGGATTAGATCGACATAGTTAAAAAATCATTGAGGATTAAGGTACTTCACTCACAATAAATTGACTAGCTAAAATTCAAGGGGTTCTCATTTACTCTTTATCAGGTATAATAATAAGTGGACTTATCTATAGGTTAATCAATGAAAATTACAAAGATAATATACCAAATAAACAAAATATTCAATCATATAAAAAGGATCTAAAGATTATCTTGACACCAATGTGGGGGTTGATTTAGAGAAGAGAGCATGTGTTGAAGACATAACTTTGATTATTGATTATTGCCCAAGTGTTGATTATTAACTTGGCAGATTTGTGGCGATAGAATTGGTCAATAGTTTAGTCCTAATGGTACATTGAATGACTTGGGGTTAGGAATTGAAAAGATCTAGGCAATTCATATTTGAGGAATTCAAATCAATTAGGATTGGGTGAATCTAGACCAATTTGGATCAAGAAGATTCTTATCGATTCAAATTTGGTATTTTATTGGTCACAAGTAGGTGTGAACTTAACTTGAATTGGTGGGACAATGAATTAGATGGGAACAAGTGGAATGATTGATGTTGGAGGAAGGCAAATGGCAAAGTGGATGGAGTGGTAGAGCAGTGGAAGGTGGGTTGTGTGGCAGCATGTTAATGGCTGTGTAGGCAAAGATGGCATGGTGGTGACAAATAATGGCTATGGGTGTATGATGGTGGGAATAGCTTGAAACAATAGTGAAGGCATGAATTGAGCCCTAAGCATTGTTGGAAGTGTGGTGACATATGATGGATGGCGGATGACAATTGATGGTGTTACATGGCTTGCGAATGATAGCCAACATGTGGTGGTGATATGTGGTTGGCAAATGGTGGGCAATGGTAACAAATAGTGGTGGTGGATGGCAATGGATAAATAACCCTCATGGCCTCTCTTTTACAAAGTGATGATAGGTGACCCTCATAATCTATCTTTCATGGTGTAATCAAAGATAAGAACTCAAAAAAACTCTTTGATTCTCTATCTCATTCTAGGGTTACAAGAGTGCATGTATAAGCATTCTAAGGTCTAAAATGAGAAAGATTAATAATAAAGAAAATCACTCCTAAATGGGCTTGGGTTTAGTGCATTGCCAATGTGGGCAATAGTTCTCACTCCTTCAATCTTCATCAACTCTCTTGAGTTGGAAAGAACTCAATCACATGAAGTGTGGTGTGAATCCATCTTCACATTGTCTTATAGAATGTTTGATTTATATGTTACAGCTCATTTCTAGAAATTCATGAATTATATGTTGGTTGATGGCCCTTTCAATGTATAATTGTTGAAATTCTCTATAACTAGTAGATAAGATTTTTTTCATCTAATATATCATCTATTTCCTCATGACATGTAGAAAATGTGACTACTTGATAGTTGGGTTCTAGTTCACTAACAAGGGATAGATAAGATTCAAATAGATCAATATGTTCTAAATATTAAAAGTCGAGCTAATTCCCTAATCAGATGACAAATTGATAAGATATGCATTGTAGTTTAGAAGTACCTAGTAGAAACCTCTTAGGTCATACTATTCTTTAAGCTCATAAGTCATGATAGTGATAAGGTTTCCCTCTTTAAGCTCAATTTTTTGTGAGAGTAAACTATATGCTTATGTAACTCATTACATACTAATTGTATTTATGAATGTATTTATGTAAAATTTTAATATGTTGCACAAAAGACTCAATCAACTCTCAAACTCTAACATGTATTAACATAGAAATGGCGTTGATCTAGATTTATAATCATGCACAGCCTCCAATAGACTCAACATTTTAGTTTAATTAATAGAAATAGTATATGCAAACTTAACTTATAAGCATATAAGAAGTCGTTAGGTGCTCAACGACTAAGCATATGAGAAGGTTCTTTAAGCTTATATCCATTACTTCTATCTATCCACCTATTTGAAGGTGAAAAGACATAAATAATTATAATGTTCAAAGGAAACAAATGACTCTAACATCACTATTTGACACTATCATTTTAGGAAATTCAAGAAGTTTTAATACCTCATTGAAATATAATTTATATATCCTACAAGCATGTGAGGTCTTAAAACAAGGTAAAAAATAAACCATTTTCAAAAACTTATCAACTATCAAAAGAATGTAATCATATTTCTTTTGTGTCTTAGGTAAGCCTAAACGAAATCCATGTTGATATCTTCCCTTGAGCAATTAGAAATGAGAAAAAGTGTGTAGAAGTGAGTATTTCACTTTTTGTATTTTTCAGAAATACATGGTATTGTGTAACAATTTTTGCTACATTCCTCTTAAGACTAAGTCAATAAAAGTAATCTTTGACCATTATTATGATTTTATTCCACCCGAACTAACTAGTTAATCCATCTTCATGCAATTCTCATACTAAAATTTTTAATTGGACGTGTAGGGTATACAAAGATGATGATTTCTAAATAAATACTCTTGAAGTATATAACTGCAAAACTCTTTGAAGGGGTTCTCTTTAATTATATTAATTACATTATCATAGTATGGGCAATTGTCATAGGCTTCTTTCATCCTCTCAAAATCAATTACCTCAAGACTTACCATAGATGGTTAACTCTATGACTATGTATTTGTAACTTAATTCTCAACATGTGACTTGTGTTTAAAGATAGGTGTACGTTTTGAAGAATTCAATCCAGCAACCTCATTAAAGGTTGAGTTTTTTTTGAGAATGAAGGTAGCATATGACTTCATGATTAGAGTAAGTATGAATTGTTGGGGTAATAAATAACATATCTAGTAATGCAAAGCTTGAACAAGAGCATATAACTTTTTATCATATGTAGAATACTTAAGTTTTGCGTCATTAAATTTTTCAAGAAAGAAGGTTATAGGGTGCCCTCATGGATTACTATTAGTTTAGACAGGGCAAATTCATATTGATTTAGATTGGGCAGATCTTGATTAGTTTAGATCTAGAGGTCTGTTGAGTCATGAACAAGTGGGAACTTAACTTGAACTAGTGAGATGCCAAATTGGATGGAAATGGGTGGAGTGGGCATAGTAGGAGGAAGGGAAGGAGGAATGGATGGAGTGATGAGCGACGGATGGTGGGTTTGATAGTGGAATGTCACTTGCAGTGCAAGTAGAAGTGGCATCATTGGCTTGAATGATGGCAGAGGGCATGCGATGGTGGTGATGGCCCGAGGTGGTAGTGATGCATGAATAAAGCCTAAGTGTTGTTAGTAATGTGGTGGCAATAGTGCATGATTCAATGATAGGAGACGATGGATGGAAGATGTCAAATAATAATTAGTGGTAAGATGGCTAGTGAATGTTAGGTGATGGGTGATGGTGACAGATAATTGGCAGATGGTAGGTGATGGAGGTGGAAAAATGACCCTCACAGCATCCCCTTCACGAAGTGATGATAGGTGAACCTCACAGTCTCTCTCACGTGCGAAGTGATGTTAGATGACCCTCACAACCTCTCTCTTATAGAATGATGAAAGGGAAAACCTCAAAATGATTCTTCTATTTTCTACCTCATTCTAAAGTTATAAGAGTGTATTTATAATAGTTCTAAAGTCTAAATAAAGAAATAAGAGATCAATAATGAAAGAAATCACTCCTAAATAAGGTTAGATTGGTGCATTGTCAACATGGGCAATGTTTCTGCTCCTTTGGCCTTCATTATACTTTCTATTTTTATTCACTTGTTTGATTCCTTGCTTGTATGATGCTTGTTGGTTCTCCGATTGCTGATGATTTATAAATCATCCAACCATAGCCATAGACAACTTCTTAGTTAGTCACTTAGTGCCACTTTTTGCAATTATTCAGGGAGTAAAGCAATTGACTTGAGATAGAATTTGTTGAATAAAATAATATAAGTAATAAAATGTACATTGAACAAAGAAACCTGTGGTGCATAAAACGATTTATACAGAAAATTCTCATTTTAGATGATTTAAAGACCCGACGATCGTGGGTCCTAAAATCCACGATAAGCCAGGAAAAATGCACCCTTTAAAACCATGCCAGAAGGACTTCATGCCAATGAATATTTAAAAACTAGTTTTTATTTATTTATCTACTTGGTTACCCCGACCACATAACCCATCTCCTCCGTGAGACTTCGGTTTTGAAGGCTCCGGTACCTCCACTGTGTGCGCGGGCCAGTGCCATGGCTGCCTCCGCCCCCATGGCGGCCATCTCGTCGGGTGTGAGATTCTCTTCCGTCCCTTGCCTCCCATCGCCCGACCCAGCTCAGGGCAGTGGGGCTAGAATTCCGTCTCCGGGCTGCGTCTCGTTCCGGCTTTGCGCCGGACTCTGGGAGATCCCGTCCCTTAAAGGCGGTTTCCTGCGAAATGCGGAGCAGGAGACTCTCGGACCGTTGAGGATGGGGGGGAGGGGCTTGCTTCCGGTTTTCTGCTCGGCCAGATCATCCGACTCGTCTTCGCCGTTGTCATCGTCCTGGTGGAGACAGGTTCAGCAAAAGGTGGTCTCCCCTGAGAAGATCTTGAGGATCATCTCCGGCGCCACCTCGAGCCCAATCTGTCAGTTCATCGAGTCCCCGGCCACCGTTCTACATTCCGTCAACCCCCGAATCAAATTGGTACCTCTGCTGTCTCTTTACATTTTCCTTTTATCTACAAACTTGTGCGAATAGATTGTAGTCAGGTCGCTTGTTGCTAGGAGTTTCTTGGAACCTCGCCGTTATTTTGTCTCACCTATCCTCTGATTTTCAAAAAAGGATACTCGAATACTTTGCCATTGAAACAAGCTAGATATATACTTAGGTTCGGTTTCGTACCGCTTCACTATTTTCCATTTTTGGTCATGCTAAATTATTTAATTAATTGGATAGTTTCTTGTAAACGAAAACTTTCTAAACTTCTTTTTATGATTTCCTGATTATATCCCGAAAATTCTCATCACTGTCATCGAAAAATTACCTGGGCAGTGGCTTATTTTCTTGTGAAGTCAAGCATCTTTAATATCTGTTCAGGTTGTGTATTCGAGAATGTCCGCCCTAGATTACTATTGGGGTGCCTTGCAAGTCTGGGTAAAGCCTTCATGGTGGGAGTGAAGGGATATACAAATTTAGGCATGTTGGTCGCTGAGATAGCGTATGATCATGTGAACTGTCAGGATAGGAACAGTTTCCCAACACTTTGTAGCAATCTGCTGGATGATTCCGAAGGGATGCTGATACGTGAAATGTGAAAGTTTCTGATGTAGATTTGTGATTTTCACCAGCCTATGCCAATGAGTTTTCTAAAAAAGACGAAATGGAGATTATTGATAACGAATTTTTGGCCTGCTATTTGTTTTATATTAATTGTTTGCTATTTTCAGGTATGGCTACTGGCTCTTGTTATCTTACCAGCAAGGTCACCAGTTTTCATGCGCTATGGTATTGTTGTGTATCTCGCTCTGTTGTCAATTTGGGTTCTTCCAGAGCGTGTGTGGATGGTATGAAAACTTCTGTGATGACTCTCTAATCATTTACTTTAGTTACATCTGAGTAGAACCTTGGATGCAATGTTTCCATATGCGTCAATATTATCGTTTTGATTCGTCTGATTGACATTTGTGAAAACTGGTTGCTTTTGTCTTCTTTAATTCTGAGAGGTGGTCATGCAGCAACAGAAAAATTATAACTATGTGTAGAATTTACCTAGATCTGAATGTGATTGAACATAAGGAAATTAATGAGAAAGCAGTATCTAGATACCTCAATTTTTAAGTAAGTGCATTTCGCTTCCATAATTAAAAAAGAAAAATTGATATCTGGAGGGACTGGAAAGGTCGCACAATTAAGGATGTTATAACATTACCATGGACTTAGATGCGTTTTTGTGCCGTTGGAAGGGTTATTAAATTACCCAACATTCCTCATAATTTTAATTTGGCATTTCAGGTGAATAATGTGGATTTTAAGACAAACTATCATAGTTATGAGAAAAGTCCATCCAAATAAAATGTATGAATTTTCTTGTCATCACCAATGAAAAAATAGTGGGATTTCTCGAATGGAAGAACAATGGGGGCGCATAATCAGAAAAACATGTATTAAACTGAGGGGACTAAGAGAAGTCTGTGTAATGTCAAGTTGACTTAGGAAACCTGTGGTGACATTCATCCTGTGCAGGTATGCGTAGTTGGTTGGGTTAGGGAAACCCTGGTCTCCCTTTCATTGGATGTAAGGTTTCTGCTCAGAGGAGGTAATGCTGAAGTCTTGTAACAGTGGGACTTGTGAATTCCCCTGCATCTTCCTCTCATAAATTTATGCACATGGGAAGAAAAAAGGATACTAGAGCGTATGAACATTGAAAGAGGAAGGGGCACTACATGACAAGTCGGCCTTTTAGAACTGCAGACTTTCAAAAAACTTGAAGAGCTTAATTCATTTGATTCATTTATCTTGACTATCTTCAATGATCTTCAAAAATGGTATTTCTTTGTTTTTCTTTTATAAACTACAATTTTCACATACGCCATTTGCAATATAATCTATTTCTATTCTCAACATCCAAAAGCTCATGCAAAGGCTGTACGATGACTTGACCTCTGTCTTGAAAATTGCTACCATTTGCAGTTAATTCAATATCTAAACCATCAGATGTCCTTGAAAAGTGTAACTGTCCCTTACTGTTGTCTCAGTAAAGTTTCTAATGCTGTGAGCACCATTGGGTTACCTCACTTCAAGTTCTGAAACTTAAATACAACTTCTGAGCTCTTTAACAATATTTCTCCCATTCATTTTTTCTTCCTCACATTTACAAGGAGGTGGAATTATCCAAGTGCAAGTGATTTGCAAATCAATTTCCTCATCAGTATTATCCTCATCAATATGAGTAAATATGCTGCTCATCGAGCATTTTAGTTATGCTCTTGTGCATGACAAGCGACCCACTGGCAATCCTCTGTGTTTGCTTCCTTTTATCAGTTTTCTTGAATGACTTTTCTTTTTCACTAGAAAGGCCCCGGTGTTAGGGGAGATATACATGCATATATATGTACAGATATGGTTCATAGAACTCAGGGTGGACTATCTGGTTTATATGGTCAACAGCCCATTTGAATTCAGAAAGGGAGAAAGTGAAGAGATAAGTGAATGAGCATAGAAATCCTCAACACTCCCCATTATGTGGAACATGTCTTTTGTACTCTGCTTGCTTAATGCAGTATTTAACTGACCTTTAGATAATCCTTTTATTAAACATCTGCAGCTTGTCCGCCTTTGCCAGTATATAGGGGCACAAAAATTCTTTGGAATATAGCTATTCTTTCATGAAATGTTGAGCTCTCTGTAGTCCTGTCAAGTTGAATTGGACTGTTGGCCAGGTTTGCAGGTGCTATGTTGTGACAACATAAATTTAATGGAACTTGAATTTTGAATCTAGTATCTTGACGAAGAATGGTTAACTGTATCAATTCTTCAAGCAATATGCAATGGCCTGGCTTCCAGCTACATGAAATTTATTTTATCTGAATTTTACGACCTAAAGAATCCATTTACTTATTAAAAAGTTCGAGATCCATTGTGTAGAACTTTTAGTTACTAGTGAATAATTCCTTTGAATAATTTAATTCTTAAAAGCCAGACTAAGGTATTGACCGCCCACAATGGTATGATTCTGATAAGAACCCAGATCAAAGAACTATGAATATTTTGTATTAGATGAAAGAACAATCTCTAGAGCAGAAATATCAAAGATAAAGCACAATAAAAGAACCCAGAACAGATGGTGGGTCGCATACAACCCTAGAACCCAGAATAGATGGAGGGTTGCATACAACCCTCCAGCCCTTTCTCGTAGATGGACGAGATGCTAACTCCGATTTTCCTCTCCCTTTCCTTCCTGATCTGTCCCTCTTTATATCCTCTCCTTTCCCTCTCTTATTTAGGCAGTTAGTCTTCTGTCATAACTGCTCTTGCCATAACCGCTTTTTGCCCTAGCTGCTCCTTGTCATATTGCTCATTGTCGTAACTGTGCCTTCCCTCAATAATGCTAACCGTTATTGACTTATTGGGCTTTGGGCCTTCTTCCTTCTAGCATATGTGCGTGGAGCCTTATCAGATTCCTGAATGGGTTTGTACACAGGGAAATAATATTTTATGAAAGTTAATGTCATTAGTAATGGTGCTAAAATGTGGCATTAGATAATTTGGGAAGCTGTGATTTTAAGCAGAACTCCAAAAATGAGGTACCGACTCCATTAATGATAACTCAAGTTACCTTGTCATCAAAATTGCCACAATTTTATGGACGTACTGTCCATTGATGTGACATATTCCTTTCAATTTGAAGATTGCTGCCTATGGGGAGTGGGAATTGAGTATATTGTGTTGTGGAGGCTCCACCATTTGGTGGAGAGTATAACATGGAATTGGCCTTTGTAAGCGGTGCGGAAAAGGATTTCTTATTGGTTGAATATTTCCTTAACATCCTTATTCATTTCAATGAAGAATTTATAATGGAAACAGTTCTGTCTCGGCATGTTAGCTATCCCTAAATAGTAGAGAATCAATAAGCTAGCCAAAGCAAGGACCCTGTCTCTGAAAGTTCATAGGGATTGATTGGTTGGCCTCTCATCCTGCATTCCTCATTCTTCTTCGTTTGACTAAATGAGTGTTTTGTCATGATCATATTCTGCAATTTGACAGTAGCCCTGGTGACAGGTGTTTAAAATTTCTCATTTACTCCATTGTCAAATGCTATTTTTATTTCCCTTCGAGTTTGCATTAGGTGTATAATGTTTGACTATGGTATTAAACATTTGAAGCATTTTTTATCTATTTTTTAGGATCAATTGGGAAGAGTGGCTTTTCTCTCAGGAATCATATTTATTTCTTTAGCATTAGGTGCAGACAGTGCACCTTCAGTTTTTCAGTCAAGAACTCCTCCACCATCTGTAACAGGTCTGCCAAGTGTTCCACCATCCTTGGATGGTTATTCTTATTTGATGATGAAGCTAGGCCCTCTACAGCTAACAAGGAAAGGCTTTTTGGTGGCTAGCACTTCTGCGTGCTTATCTTTCACGGTTTGTATTGCTGAGGAATTTTGTTTTTTTTTTAATTAGCATTTACCTTGTCCAAAAAGTTTCTGGAGTAGCTCACTTTCCTGTTAACAACTGGTACTATAAATTTTTGAGAGATGTTTGATTTACTGGTGTGCTTCACTGATGTTTGATTTACTTGATTGTTTAATTTAGTAGTCTTCTTCTACATATGATTGATGTATCTATTTGCTAAACTATTTGGTAATGTTCTTTTGCATGATAGTTGAACGTTGATGTGAAATGTGTGTAATGTGAACTAGATACCATTTTCTTTTCTAAAAATGAGATGAACTTTATTCTTTCTGACCAGGAAAATACATGGTTTTTCCTGCAACACTTTCTTGTTTTCTTTTTGTTATTTTATCATCAGGATTCAGTCAACAATTTCTAAGAATATAATTGTTTATTTCCATGTCAGATATTTCAAAGTGCAAGTCTTTGTTTAGCGACTACAACCCCTGAACAACTTGCATCTGGATTACGATGGTTTCTGGTTCCTTTTGCTGCTGTTGGAGCTCCTGTTGCAGAAATAATTCTTACTCTGCTACTTTCCTTAAGGTTCATCAATATCGTCTTTGACGAAGTAAGTAATTAACTCTGCACAGGTTATATCATCGATTAGTCATTTGGAAAATGTTTTTAAATTTTCACTTGAATTAACTCCCAATTCTACCCAGAAACACCCTAGCTGATTGCAATTTTCCCCCCACTTCATAGGTTCGTAATGTTGCATTAGGGATCGTTGCACGTAGAATAAATTGGAAGAAATTGACACTGTTGGAAACATTAGATGGTAAGTGTTCTTTATTGTTCTTTACTCTGTCTCGTAGTGTTCATTTGTATATGGATGTCTCTTTTACGCACCTGTTACGTTTTTTATTATTGTTTGGCATACATGGAAACTGTACGAGATAATGGAGTATTTTTTTGCTTAAGGTTTCTTCTTTCAATCCGAAGTTGTTCTTAAAAAATTATTTATCAACGATTTTGCACTTTTCACACCAAATTTTGACGGATGGGTGGGGGCCTTCTCAAGAGTTTCTAGTGGAGGATTAGATTCCCAACCTTATCCATCTTGTTGCACTCGTAGTGAAATGACAATCAGTCAAGGATTAAAGTGGACTAAGTGATAAAAGAAAACTTTACATGGTGTACTTGAAATGCTGGTGTCATCTGTCTAAGTTCCTCTTTGATTTTTCAGCCAGAATGGAGCTACAGGGGGAGCGAGATATCTAAAATGATATTATATTTTTTTGCGTCTCAAATTTATACTAAGCATTATATCATTGCTTACTACAAAAAGATGACTTTTTTAGTGTCTATTTCAACTCATGTAAATATGGTATTAATTTCACATTTGATTAATCAATAAGTTATCTATTCCCGACTAACAGCTCTACATTTTCTTTATTATGATTCTCAGTTATGAAAGTTTATAAATTTCATTTGATTTGTTTTGTACGTTGTAAATATTCAATGCTGAAGTTAATCTTGAACGAGATTTTGTGTAGCACTGTAGAACAGTAAAGTCATTGATGATGGATACAGCCTTGCTATTTGTGTAGTCTCATTTGGCACGAAGGCAATTAGTCCATGACTTTGGCCTCCTTTTGGCTTTTATATAAGGTCTGTTGGAGGTTCTAGGTCGTAGGGAAATAGTGTAATTAGTTGAGGGTATTTTAGGGGATAGAGTAAAATAAATCTTGAAGCGGTTTCCGCCATTCTCCCCTCTATCCTTCGTTACGAGGTTTTTTCTCCATTTCTAAGAAGGTCGCTAGGCCGTACTTCGTAAATGGAAGGCCAACAACCGGTCTGTTCTAATGCTAAGGTTGAAAGGCTCCATAAATTTTTAAAAAAGAAGTTTAGGCTCCAGTTGGGCCTCTGTTTCGTGGTTGATGATTGAAATTCTCCCAGCTGCTCAACGCTGCAAAGTCCTGGTAGCTCTTGTGCTAATATCTTGGATGTGTCTAGAGATGACCAATATTTCCTTCTGTTTTTTCCCACCATGCTACCAACAAACTTGGTGAAAGGAACTTCTCCACTGGTGACCATCTGTGTAAAGTTTAGTTCGCTCCATCTCTTCACAAATAACCCCTTTATTTCTCCTTTTACATATTTATCTGTCGATCTTGGTTATTGATAGCATTTCCGTGTAATATCTTCTCTAGTCCTTGATGACTTTCGGGGCTGCCTGTCTTCTTAATCAAGTATCCCTAGTTTAATCCTCTGGGGTCGTCTTCTAGCTCGGGGGTTATCTTTTCTTTGTGATTTCTTTCCTAACCCTTCTAACTAGCTTCTGGTATTCATCCACCCCCGATCAACACTTCTTGTGTTATTAACCAGAAGACGGGCGAATACTCTATCGACTGGTTAGTCAGAATCAAAATGCATTTGTCAAGGGATGTCAAATTCAGGAATGTTTTCTGGTTATTCTGGCAAAGGCCTATGCCAGATTGAGGTCGAACTGTCATTTCAAGTGCTGAGTATGAGCTTTGATGAAAAATGAATAGGATGGATATGAGGGATATGATGGATTCAGGCGTGTAACACCTTGGCTGATTTTGATGTTTCGGTGATTGAGGAGCCTTTAACATACGGTCATAGTGTGAGAAGTCTTAGCCCGGGAGATCTACTTTGTCTTTGTTATCGAAATACTAAGTAAAATTTTTCCAATGGCGGAAGTTGTGGGTTCATTTAAGAGTATTTTGGCCATACGCTTGTCACAGGTTCAAATTCATAATAGCTGAGCCTATCACGTGCGTGATCATTTTTGTTGATTTTATTGGATGCAAAAGGATGATGCTAGATTTAATCGGATGTATCTAGTGTTTGGGAATATGTTTCTAGCCAAAGATGTGGTGGTGATGGACATCGAGATTTTTCTTGGGAATGGGTGCAATGCATTATTTTGGAAGGAAAAGTGGGTGTTAGAAATTTTCTTTTAATGACGAACTTTGTAAGCACATCTTATTTCAAGACCTTATACTTCAATGTCGGTATTTTTTTTTTTTTGACAGGAAAAGGAAGACGGTGGCCTAAATTTAGGAGAAACTCGGAGATGAGGTGATTTAACAATTAGAAGGCCTTCTGGGTATATTCATGTATGTCCATTATGAGATCACGGGCAGACATTAGATACTGTAGAGGTGAAAATTTGTTGTTAGTACGGTCAAGTTATTACATGAGAGCTGATGCTGCTCTTAAGTCCCATGTAGCGCACTGGATGTCAAAGTTTCTTCTCTTTCACACGTGAAGATATTGGTGCATGGAATTTCGATTCGAAACTTCCTACATGAGAACCTTTTGTGCGCTTTATGGATAATTTTTTAATATGCATGCAGTCTTCGTGTAGAGGAAGGGAAATTGTTGGTCATTTTTTCTCCCAAGTGATCTGGCGCCCCATGCCTTCTAGTAGGTGTACAGTGGCGATGCCCAAGTCAAATTGATGAGCTTGAGCTAAGATAGAACTGAAACTGGACTCAAAAAGAGAATCACAACATTTTATGTATCATCTTCATGTAGTACCTAGATGATTTGGATAGAGAGAAATCAACATGATTTTGTAAAGATAATTTATTCAGGTGCTAGGGTTTCTGCATATTTGATGAGGTCGGAGTATGGGTGAGAAGACTGTGTATAGAGAACAGAAGAATCAGATATTGTTTGGGAGATTGGACTGTTTAACACTATCTCCACCTTATCAGTTACAAGCTTTTGGATGTCGTGGACGCCTTTTGCATGCTTGTGCCTTCTCCTTTCTTGATTTTCCAGTGACTGTGTGGTGCCATTATTGTTAGTCACTAACTAGATAGGCTTGTGATCTGGCCAACTTATTGTAGCAATCTGCTTTCTTGGTGTAGTGATCCTCTCATTCGATAGACGTAAGAAACTTGCCCAAACTTGAACAATTTGGAGTCCTCCATCAGAGGTAGACCATGCAAACTAGGACTTGAGCTTGCCTACATCAGTTGAAGGTGCCTTATAAGAAAATTTTGTGACTTCAACTTTCCATCATATCTGCTGGAGCTACCTTTTTTCAGCGTGCATAAGAGCATGTAATCCACCACAGTGAGGAGCCAAATAGCCTAGGTTTCTTCTTCCTATTTTGTTGCCATGATCTGTCGAATCCCATCCACGTTCCCTTTTCTATTCGTAATGAAGATACTTATGCATCATTCTACTTGTCTCCATCTCCCCTCCATCTGGTGCGAAGTTTGGGATTGCTTTCCATTGTCTTATGAAAGGTAGCGTGCCTAGTGTCTGTGCATTCCCACTTCTCATGTCTTTTTCTTCAGTCTTGGCATCTCACTATGTTCCAACAGTTGTCTTGTGAATGAGTACTAAAAAAATCTGAAACACCTTAGTCCTGCCTTGTCCAAGTATTTATCCAGTTATAAAATCGCAACCGAATCCTGTTTTCTTTGTATCAGGGAGCTCCTGATGACGTCACTGGGATCCTTTTTATCCTTCATATGGTGTCCACTCCCACTCTCCTCGTAGTCACCTCCATCCACCTCAGAGATATCAAGAACAAACTTCTAGTCTCCCCGGCTGTGCCCAATGCTTCTAGCTTTTTGAAGGTTTCTCTTTCCCAGGCTTCCATTGCAGCTACTCACAATATTTTCTATACTATTTAGTGCGTGAGAACTTTTGTTCCTGGATCCTTTCTTATGGTGGTTTCTATGCTGTTGGATATAGTTCTGGGTTTCCAAAGGATAGGTAAATTAGTATAGAGATCGATATAGTTCTCTCCTACCTTATTATGTGCTCTATCTTGACAAGATAAGATGAATTTGGAAAGTATCCATTTCCCTCCGCATGCTTCTAATGTTTGTGCTGTCAGGGAGTCAAATGATCTGAGTATATTACTTGGGTCTGAAGGGCACTATCATAATTCTACGATTGGGTACACACTATGTCACTAACAACCAAACTTTTCCAAACTTTATCCATTTCTTCTGGAGCTGTACATGTGAATGTAACTTGTCAGAAGGCAGGTATGAAGGTATCCCCAGCTGACATTGTCGAAGCATCACTTGTAATTGCGAAGTTATAAAAAATTCATGGATGGCGTTTGCTGAAACTTTCTTCTGTGGCATTGATACTTGTCATGGCAGGAGTATGGCAAACCCGTTTCGGTTTCTTCTTTTAGGTTATCCTGAAATTTTTTACCTGAGATATTGGCTATGCGAAGACTAGATTCACTCTAGAACTCTATACTTTTATTTTACGGTCATTGCTATGCCTGCCATACCAACTGATTTCCAGTTCTTTGAATTCTTTGTAGTCTTTTTGGGATTTTCAAGCGTTTGATGGGTCGGTCTTTATAACATCAACGTGAAAAATTGTAATTTTGCATGATAAAAACCATCAGATATTGTCCATGACTGACGCTACTTCAGCAGTTTAAGTTTAATCTGATTTACGTGTTCTCAGTAAATCATCAATTGATTAATGACTCTTACAGACTCTCCACTTTACCTGTTTTATATTATTTTGCAGCAGTATACTTTTTTATTAATTGCTAATCTTTTTTGCAGTTTTCTTTACGTACATACAAAGGATTTTCAGAAACATTTTCAACCACGCGGAACAAATATCCCAGGTTACATACTTAGTTCACTTTTCCGTTTTCTTGTTTCCTATTAGCCTTGCAGATTAGATTATGGAAATAATTTAATATGAATTTCTATAAGTTATCTTATTTCGATGACACATATTTCCAGACTGTTCGGTAATATCCATATTCTAGCTACCTTCTGTGATGTTGAAGACTGTGCAGGTCAATACTTGATAAATTTGATAAATCAATTTTAAGATGAAGAAGCAATATGAAATACTGGTGGCCTTAGCTGTATGAAATAATACGAGGTATTATTCAGCAAAATACCTCGTCACTCTGTCCAGTGGATGATCCGTTTTGTTCTTCATCATCACCTTATGGATAAATCTCGACTACCTTTCCTTGGTGTGCTTAGTTTCAGGCAAAATAGAAGATTATCTAATTTAATATCATGGCTTGGTGACCTATTATCTACTCGTATGCTTTATGTGGATAAAATCTGAGTTCAATGTGGAAAACTACTGTTGGTGTGGACGGCATGGAAGGAATGCAAGTAGGCTGGAGAAACGTAACCCGCACACAGCTTCAATTTGGAGATGACATCATATTGTTTGAAAATATAACAGAAAATTAAAATTTAAAGTGGATACGCATGCCTTGGAATCCTAGTGATATTGAATTTCGGCATTACATGCTCAATCAGATAGGATTTCAACAATATAGAATGCTTAAACATTCTTCTGTGCTGGGTTGTAAGTCAGGGAGCTCCTTATTAAATACTAGGCCTCCCTTTTTCTTTGTGTAGAATAAGAATTCGCGCAGGGAGGAAAAACTGCTTTGGAATTGGACTAAAGATTAGTGGGTTGATAGGCCAAGGTTCTCTCACTGGGCATAGAGGTTCTCTGTTGGCGAACATTGCTCAGTTTGGCATTTTACAAATGCCCACAATGTTGCACACCATGTAGCTTATTCTGAGAAATTATGTTTCTCGCCTGTGGTAAATATTCTGATACAGTTTTTACGGTGACTGCATTTTTGACGTACGATCTGTCCATGCTTTCTCAACCGAATTAAATGGCATTTTTCTAGAAACATCTTACTCTTAAATTGCCTGCTTGTTTTGGTAGTCCTTCTAAACTTTGCACTAATTACTGCCATTATGACGTGACAGGCAATGATTGTCCGAGGTTTCCGTGGTGACTGCAGTTCACATAAGATATATTTACATCCCTCCCCTTCTCTTGGGATGGTGGATATTTTTTCATTGCTTTTCCTTGGGGGTCTCATAGCAATCACTGTGCTGTCTGAATCATTTCTGGTGTGATCCTGTGTAAGATCCATCCTCTTTCTACGTCGTAGACAATTAGTTTTCTAAATTGTTTTGGAAACTGTATGTAAAGTGGGTTTCCTTGTGAACTGATGAGATGCTAATTCTGATAGTTTTTTCTTCCATTTTAGCTCTTGCTGCCACTTAAGGTGTGAACGCCCTCTCCGGATTGGGACCTAACTCAAAAACATCATTGATCATTGGTTCAAGAACAACAATCTGCCTGGTAATCCCTTGGTTTTTAATCTGTTGTGAACAATAAAATGATATGTTCATTCTTTGTTCATCTCGATAGAAATACTGGAAATAATCTTGTTGTTTCATGCATACACTTTGATGTCGATTATCTGTTGACGTACAGTTGGGGATCCTAATGAAAGAAAATAATCCAGTGAAGAGCATAGGACTTTTTTACACACTACAGCTCCATCTCCTATCTCATTCCTTCCATGTATGCCTCATAGTTCTTTATCTGCTGTTACCTAGGAGGATCACCCTCTGGAGACAGGAGAATGATGCTGCTGACTCATCTCCACGGTTTGGGCCTCACCTGGTCTATCAGAAACTTACCGCCAGTGGTCACTGCGTACAGGTCGTTGCCCAGGAAGGCTACAAGTAAAAAAATACAGCAAGCTTACCAGAAGAAAGTGGTGCTTCATTTCAACCCTCGTCAATTTCTAGTGATTTATGTCCAGGGTGCTTAGGATTATTTATAGGCCCTCCCCTTGTGATCTTTTTTTTTTTATATAAAATGCCCAAAATTTTTCAGGGTGCTATGGTTTTTGAAATAAATTTGATCTACAATCATTGAGCACCATACTTTTTCATATTGATGAGTCAGCCCATAACAGGTACATGCTTGCTTTTTTTTTACTTCAAATCAAGGCTGGAAGAGGTATGGACTCTTTAGGCATTGTCCCCCCAACACACACAGGGGCGCCCAGAAAAAAAGGAAAACAGAGTCTTTAAGCATGCTCTCCCCTATCCTAGATTCTCAAAATCTCTTGCTTGTGATGGAATCATATTGATCGAATTTGGAAGCTTTTGTGCATGTTTTCTCTGGACAGTCTTCCTAAAGAATAAAAGTTTTTTATTTTGATTTGAGTTACATCTTAAGCTCGGAAGTCAACTTCAGGATGAGTACTGGAAAGGGGGTTTGGTCAATTAATGTAGTGAGATCTGTGGAGGGTGGAGTGATGGAATATTTCTATTCCACAAAGGATCATCAACATAAGACAAGCTCATCAGTGATCCGAGAAAGTCAAGATTAATGAATAATTCTGCCCTAAGTTTTGCCGAAGATTAAACAATGATATTTTTGTTGATTCCCCTTTTATGCTTATTTTGCATCTCGTAAGACATTTTTTCTTTACACCCTTTTTTTCCCCTCTTTTTAGTATTTTTCCCGCAAAAAACTGTGATAGATTCTAGTTGTTGAAAGAACATATGACGATGAGATATCAAATGAGAAGAATGCTGGAAATGATGGACGAGATGAGAAGAATATGGTGAGCAAAAAGAACGTAGATGAGGAATTAGAACTGGACCAAGAGATAACATTAAGAATTAGGTAAAAAAAATGGTGATGAAGAAGATAAAGAGGCATTGCTCTAGAAAAAAACTGAAATAATGGCTTTCTGCACCTGACCACAGTGATTCACACGATTCAACTCAGCTTTAAACAGCCGCGACTCTGGATGGGGAAGCACTTGAGTGACAATAAATCAATAGCATTCAAATTTCTTTTCTTTTCTTTTCTTTTTCTTTTCTGCAGCATTAAAACAATCACACTCCTAGGGATGGTGGGTGTAGTGCGTCACATTCAAATACTCTCTCAGGTAATGCCATGCTAATTGAGTCACTCTTTGCCATAAGTGATATTTTAGATATGAATGGAGGTTAATGGTACATAGTCGTCAGATCCCACAAGCCCATTCCCACACACTACACAGCTGACAAATGTCATTAATTACTAATCAAATTGGGTGAAAGTTGTGCACAAAAAGGGCAAAGAATCGGGGAACACGCCCAGTGGATTGAAAGAGGTCAGCTATGAAAGTTGACCTACATCTCTGGGCTCATTGGTATCTTCACACCTGAGCCTGATGTTAGGAGCTTGTAAGCTTCTTGCAGCCTCCTAGTGATGGGTCCCACATGACCATCACCAATTATTCGGCCATCGATCATGACAACCTGTTGAAGGTCAATCCTCCACTAAGTTATGATCTCTCAGGAAGGAAAACGTGCAGGTTCAAAGAATTGACTAAGACTTGAAACTTCTCAATATAATAATGATGGCAGATTTTTTATGTTTCTTTGAAAAAGAAAATCAACTTTCTGAGGATGAAATAGATTGCTGGGTTAGATGCCTTGAAGGCGATTGGAGGATATTCAGAGCTAAATGGTGAATCGAATGAATCATTGAAAAGGGAAAAATAATGTACATAAAACTTAATAAGTATCAACTACATACATTCCGTATGAGATCCAATCGGCATAAATCTGCAATTATTTGAACCATGAAACAAGAGCAACCAGCCCTCATAATTGCAGAGTATGAAACAATGACCTTCACTTTTGACTTCATTCATTTTGTTTCAACTGGGCAAAATAATTGTAGAACAAGTGACTTGTCGCCCATGCATCAAAGACGCCCAACTAATGATTTTTCTGTCTAATTTAACCCCTATTGAAGTAAAAGTGTTTTTCCCCCGAGAAAGTAAACATTCATAATAAAAGAATCGTCAAAAGGAAAAAAGAATGGATTGTAGAATCATCACACGGCAAACTAAAAGATTTTTTCAGATTTAACAAGAAACACCATACCGGTGTAAGCTCTCCCATTGTCCCAGTTGTCCATACCTGCAAGCCAAAAGAGACGGGCATCAATGCTCAAGGTGTCTACAGTACCTAACGTCTGCCATGGTTTGTATCATGAAAAGGAGAAGACAAATTATTCCCGCAGGAGATGGATTCATATGATAGAGAAATTAAAAGAAAATGAATGCAGCAGCATCCAGGAAGACAGTCAGGGTTGAAGAAACCTTTGAAGAAAAAACTCCTTGATGGACTTAAGAAGAAAATGACCAATGCCATTAAATCGTATTATTTTTATAATTTTTTGCCGTCTTTTCCATAACTAGTTTTCTATACATGCAGGAATTTTTCTTCTTGAATTGGTTTGAGAAGAGCAAAAACAGGAGGGTACATTCACAAAGTTCACCGTACCTTTTCACCACCATGCATCTTATCCACGCCAGTTTATCTCGCCCATAACACTTTTGAACGCAAGTACGTCACCTCTTTTTTTCATTTTCCTTTAGTGTATATCTTTTCGAGAGAATAAAAATCGGTGGTGCATCCCACATTTCTCAGAAAAAGAAAGAAAAAAGGAAGTACAAAGGGAAGTTCGTCTCCAACAAGAAACTCGACATACATTCAGAAGGTCATGTCAATACATAAATCTTCACAAACTTGTAGAGTTTTTGTTCATGTGAGGAAGAAAGATGGCAGTGAAACAGTTCAATCGCTTCAATAGTGGTTACCATGTCGCCCTTCAGTACAACCACCGGAAAGAGAATATCTGCCACAGGCCATTGTTAAACTATTGGGGCCTCCAGCTCAAAACTACAAAGGATGCTTTATTTTTTCTAGAATAAATATAATAGGATAGTCTACATATACAGACTATCTTAATAAAGATATATTAGGGTTTTCAGACAAGAAATAAAGACGATGCTCCAGCAAATGGACTAAAATATAAGGTGATGAAAGTCAACTAATTGATAATGGGTAGAGTAAACCTACGTCTGTATTCTTTCTAATGTGATAAAATCATAACAACAATGAATACGTATGTGTCTTAAGATGATTATGATAGTGCTTTGCCTGAATTTTGATGCCACAAGTCAGAGTCTTGTATGGTATATGGCAAGACAACACGTAGAATGTTTATCATTCAGAGTAGCCTCCAGACAGTGAAGTGGGTATATTAAGTTTGAAGGAGAAATATGAATCCAATACAAGTGAGCCCCCTATCTGATTGCATGGGATGGGTACCACTGACCTCAATGTGAAACTTAGGAAATATATTCCACCGTCAAGAGAAACAGGGCATCTACCAGGTTCAATCTCTAGAGATGTAGTGAGGGAGATTCTGTGAAATATGAACCTTGAGAACACAAATGCTAAGGCTTCCATACATATCACATGGCTTACTGAAATTTTGGTCCATTAACTCAATAGCACCCACCTATCAACGACATGCTAGGTGGCCTAATATAAAGGAATAAACGGTAAAAGATACAGTAATCCTACACTAATCAGGTCATACCATTCCTCAATATTAGAATGAACTGCACAAGGCAAAAGGAGAAAAGATGAGCTTTTCCGAAGGTGGAAGTGGAAGTTAAATTTTACGATGATTTAAATAGAACAGTAAGGACTTTTCTTCAGAAAAACCTATCAAATCTCCATGAGTGGTTGATTTGAAATCAATCTAACCTCATCTGCAGTGTGAAATTCGGACAGACTGATACGCCGCTCATGCAAAACTAAGTTTTCTTTAATGACAAGCTCCATAACCTGCATGAAAAAGAAAAGTAATTAATACACGACCAACCAGTAACACCATCAAACAGTAGAGCATCTTGTCCTGTGAGCTCCAAATTTGCATAGCCAATTCACTTCTTAGAGAAAATCCTACTAGTAGCAAACTTTTATTCATTAAAAAGCAGTACTCTCCAAGAAAAGCAAATGGCGTTCACATTTTGCATTGCTACTGTCTTTCATTAGCCCTGAGACATTTCTTCCTACAGGTTATGGCTTCTCAGAGATGAGGAATAAAGAGCAAAACTGGACACTTCGGGAGCAGAGTTGGCCAACTCAAACATCAGTCTGACCCAGAAGCCTCAAAAGCTAAGTTGGCTGGGGACAGGTTACCAGACTTGCAAGAGTGAAAAATAATAGAGGCGAGACTCTCTTTTCCCAGTATTTTAATCAAGCAACGAGTCCATTAAAGATGAACGAGGCGCTTGTTGGCAGCTTGTGGTGGTGGAAGAAATGAAAAGAAAAGGCAGAATAGAAAGAAATGGGGAAAAAGCTGCACCTTCTCGTCACTAATATTGCTACACACAAAATGCCTTGACATTGGCTGCACTTTCTATTTTTTCCGTCTTTCATTGAACAGAATCTGCAGCTGAAGCACAATCTATCACATGGGGTCTGGGAGAAGGTATTGGGGGCAAGTAACTATGAATTAAACGTTTAATCTTCAGAAGAGAGGCTCATTTTTAATTAATGTGTTCATGCCAGATACCCATTTTTCTCTGTATTCTTTTCATTGAACTGGGGGATCGTATCACCACTACTGCAAAGTGGCATGAGTTGCACCGATTTGGTATTAAGTTAGCCCAATAAATTACTCATCTTAAACCCCTAAGCCTACTCAGTGTCTAGAAAATAGAGCAGATTATAGAAGCCGGTCGAAGATGAAATCATCATGCCTACCAAAGATTCCTTCTACACCAACTAAGAAATACAGGAGGTTTGAAAAGGGGAAAGCTTCTACTATCAAATGCAGACTAATCGAAAGAGCCACTAATTGGAAAAAAAATCTAATTTCTCCGCAGTGAAAGAACTATTCTGCAATGTTTCTAAATAAATAACATAATAAGCAATCGTAAACCTAAAAAACGTTGAGAACGCAGTTGGTATGCTCATCTAAATTTTCATCACAATTGATGGGTCTTCAAAAGCTTACTGTTGCTCTGGTAATCCCAGGCAGGCAATAATCAGCATGAGGAGTCGACACAAGGCCTTTCTTAACCAAGAACTGCATTCCAATTCTAAACAATTGTCAATCATCTCTAAAAGAACAACATTGGAGTTGAGTCGTAATAGCAGAATAAGGCTCACGAGGTTGGTTGCATTTGTTTCTGATACAAAGCCATCGTAGTCCAGCATGATTGCATCATTTGCCTTGGCAAGATTTCCTTCTATCTGTGACGTCCACAGCTAATTAGTGGTGATATGTCCCCCTTATTGAATTCAGTGAAAATAATAAAACACGATGAATTTACACATCAAGTCAAAAATACGGAGAGAAGACAAACCTTGGCCAATATATTGTTGATAAGATTGTTATGATGAATCTTTGAATCCAAATTCTACAAAAAGGAATGAAAAAATCATAAATTAAGTTTAAGTGAAGTAATCATAAATTGATGGGCTGCCAAAATCCACAAGACTTCATTTGGCATTTCCCCTTTATATAATAGCCATTAATGCCAATCATTACGTACATACTAAACTCAAAACAGACTAATGATTCCCATTCCTCTCTGACCTTAGTTAGAATTGGACAAGGGAAAGTAGAATCCAAAATGAGAAGCTAGAGATGTGATGCTTGACAAAATCATTGAAAAACGAAAAAGAAAATTTCTATTTCCATAATTGTTAGAGTAATAATCCCTCATGCTTAAAGCCTAATTTTGAACTAGTTTGATGCTATAAAAGCTTTTATACACTACATATAGCTTTCATCAAATTGATACTTTTTAGTTTTCGTATGTTTCATCAATTTTTTGTGTTGTGAACAAAACCTGAAGCACTAAAAGGTTGGAATACAATCAGAAATCTCATGGATTCATATAATTACGCCCAGACACCTAAATCATCATTTCACTTAGAACATACACAGGCATTTCCAACGAACGTTTCAGGACCCTTCTAGTGTTCTCCTGGATTAATAAAACTTCTTTCCTGAATGTTCCCCAGGGAGTTATATTTCCGGATTGAGACCACTTAAAACTATACCACAGCTATTCAATAAGTAGAAATTGCAAATCCTAAGAGTGCAATATGCCTTTCCATGCATTATGGTAAAATAAGATTCAAGATGGACAGAAAAATATAAAATGATGATTAATAAAATAGAAGCGATAAAACTTACATTTGGTGAGTTCCGACGTGTGGTCGCAGTCACTAACTTTATTCCAGAATTATTATCATAGACTGGTGGTTTCCACTCAGCAAGCACTGTGAAAACCAAGGAAAATTCATCACATTAGAAATCTATACTTTATGTATCTAAACGGAAGGCTAATTTTCGAACCGTCTCTGTAAAACGAGATTCATGTAATGTTATGAACAAAATAAGGAGCGCATCAGCATTTTTCACTGTGCCAAATGAGTAAAAGATTCCTGAGTATGAAGATTTCCACCCAGAACAAGAGTGTACGACTACCCAGGATTTTTGTTCCATGATACGGTTGACACAGCATGTGCAAAAAGTAAGGAATGTGGAGCTGATAGAGGATAATGGAAAAGTCTATTCCATCATGGTGGCATCAGGGGAAGAACAGATCCACCAATCACTTTACTTTAGTGAAGAACACTCCCGACCAGAAGTTCAAGTGAAGGTGAAAGAACTCCCAGAGAATAATAGGAAGGTTATGAAAGAAGACCTGAGAGTCAGTCATAAGCTGAACTTCTTCCTTGAACTTCACCTAGCTAGTTTTCCAATCATTTCTTTTCTTTCAGCAGGATGGTAAAAGTTACCACCACAATACAACATGGACACTACAATACACATTCACACCACAGACCAACCAGCGCTGAAGGGAAAGATGTGGGACAGACTGACAGGAAAGCTCAATGAAATATTTTTCTCCCCAAATCTCAATACGCACGACATAAGGCTTGTCTATGATCCTGTTAACAAAGAGAGTAGGAACACACGTAAAATTCAGAAGAGAGAAAGTTCAGGGAGCCGAGGTATGGAAGCTTTGGATAGATTAAGATTACAAAGGGTCCTTAGTGATAAATAAGAGAGATAGCCATACAATTCCAGAAACTTCCAAACCACTCCTACGCAGAAAAAAACAATAATTTTCAGAGACAGGTTAATTGATTGTCAGGAAGGTATTGAATAAAGATCGCTGAGCATGGGTACAGAATTGGCGGCCAGGAAGTTTCTGAAACAGACGACACACCATGATTGGATGATCCGAATTGTAAAGAAAATACGGAGAATCTGGAAGCATGAAGCGTAGAAATATTGCATATATAGGAAGAGATGGAGAGGGAATGGTGAGCAAGCTAACCACAGGACTATTTATTTGCTAAAAAATCGCATATGACAATAAACAGACGAATATCTTGATCGAAATTTCTTTATAATTGCTAAGAGACATGTTGTTTTCAAGGGTCTGAGTCAGGTTATGAATTTATTTTTAAAAAGGAAGCAGAGGCTCTTGTTTTCGTGCTGGATAATATGTACTCTTTTGCAACTAAGGAATTAAGAAAACTACCCGATGATTCATAGAATTTGCGAAAAGTAGGTAAGAAATTGGTGGAAACTTATTCTCTCCTGTGCATAATATAGAAACTTTAGTTCAGATCTTCTCTCCAAGCACTGACAAAAATGAAATGACATATATGGATGAGAATTTATTGATCTCTGTTACGCAGGGATCACCCGATTAATAAGATATGTGTGAGGAGTAGCTTTCTTCGATCATTGCGTCATTCACCCAGACAAGGGACTTCTAGAAAGTGATGCAGGAGCTCCAATGAGCCCAAAGATTCCAGGCCAGCAAAGGGCTAAAGGACTTGGGAAATTAGGCGGGGATCAGGGAAGGAGAAGATGGTAGAATTTTAGACTCAAATGCATTACATAGCTCTTAGAGTGTGACAAGGACTTTCTTCTGAGGTCAAGCAATAGATCTTCTTGGAATCCTTTTAAAGGGACATCAGCAGAGGTTTTGGGTTTAGTGGAAAAAAATAATAAGCTCTTTCTTCATAGCATCAGAGATACAGTGGCGACCTGAACGCCGGTAAAGAGTATCCGCAGCAATTATTTTAAGTAGCAAAAAGGCTATCGTAACTTCTACAAATCAAAGCATAGATTTATTGTTTCCTGAGGAGGTTCCACAACATCAAATATAGGGATGTCGATCTACATTTAGCCCCAAGTCGATATTCACACTCATGTCCATCAACATTGAAGAAGACACTCGAATCTAATAATATCTAAGAGGTCTTAGATTCTGGGTCATCTGAATTACCAATTAAAATAGCCCAAATAGAATTGAGTCTCCAAAAATTACTCAGGAATACCATTAGTCACAAACCAAGCAACCCGCAAAGAAATTGAAGGTTTATTCAAGACATGTACAGCTCAACCAAGACCAAAGACATTCATGAATCTAAACCAAATCCATGTAATGACACCACACTTCCTCCATCAACATTTAATGTGATCTTGACCTTCCAATTGCTTTGAGAAAAGAAACCAGAGAAGGCACTCAACTCTTTTAACTAATTTTGTCTCATTTGACCGACCATGTTTTAAACATAAAGCCTTTGTACTAAGAGTCGATTGATATATAAGAAACAGTTTAAGGAATAAGGAATCGACACAAGCCATGAAAAACAAGATGAATGCACTAGAAAAAAGTCAGACTTGGGAGATTGTTCCTCGACCTAAAGACAAATTGTGCAATACAGATGGATTTACACTCTAAAATATAAAGTTAATGTTTAGAAAGATACAAGACAAGGCAAGTAACAACGTAGTCTGACTGGAATTCACAACAATTTGATGTGAAGAATGCTTCCCTTCATACGGATTTGGAAGAAGAAATCTTCATGGAGATTCCACTAAGTTCTGATGGAAACATTAGATCAAATGAAGTGCACCCATTAAAAAATTCATGTAATGAGTTAAAGCAATCCATTCAAGCATGGTAAGGAAGATTTATAAAGTTATATTGCACCAGACAATGTAAAGGGGATCATACACTATTTATCAAAGAGCTTAAGAAGGTATAATATATCAATTCTACTTACTTGTCTTGATGACATAATTTTAGTAAATAAGACGAAAACAAGAGAAATAATTTAAGAGAGTAATCAGAGCATGAATTCGAAAAAAAAAAAAGAGTTGCCTACTCCAAATGAAAGTATTTCAACGGATTAGAGTTGCCTACTTCAAACAAGGAATTTTCATTGCTCAAAGAAAACATGTTTTAGATTTACCTAAGGACACTGGAAACCCAGGGAGAAAATAAATCAATACTCCTATTGGACAAAATCATAGGTTGGTCAAAGAAGAAACTAGGAATGATGTACACGAAGGAAGCTATAAAAAACATGTTGGAAAATTGATTTACCTATCATACATGATGCTAGATACAGCCTATGTTGTCGGTGTAGTAGGTCAAATGGTGTGGAATCCCAACGAAGAGCATTTTTGCAAGCAATTATAAAATAATTCAGTACCTCAAAAGGTACACCTAGGAGAAGACTGTTATTCTCAAAAGATGGAAAGCTAACCTCAAAGATTTCTACGAGTGCAAACTATGCACAATAACTGGGTGATAGAAGGTTTCACTAAATGATGTTCCATGCTCCATGGAAGTAATCTTATAACTCTTGTGACATGGAAGAACAAGAAACAATCTATAGTTCCCAGATCAAATACTGAAACTGAATTCAAGCCCATGGCTCATGAAATATGTGAGTTATTGTCACTAAACATAATCCTAGATGACTTGAGAACTGCAAGAAGTGTGCCTATGAAGCTGTCTTGCGATAACAAATCTGCAACTAAAATTGTGATAATCCAGTCAAACCTATGTTCAAAACTAAGCATATATATAAAGATTGACCAATACTAAATAAAACGAAGCTTGAAAGCGGGTTAGTTAGCATTTCATTTGTGCCATCATGAGAACAACTAGTATATTTTCTAAGAAACTACTTGTTGCACGATTTCAGGGTCAAACAATTAAGTTGGAAATATAAGATATACACTCACCGGCTTGAGGTGGAGAGATGAATATCGTGATATATTTTGAGAAGTATATTCCTAAAATATATTTCCTTCAATGGCTATTCTTCCAATTACTTAGAGCTGCTACAGATTTCATAAAAAGTTATATTTTTCATTACTATTTTCTGGTTTCCTTTCTTTGTCTTTTCTGGGCGTACTTAATCATAAAACTTCTAAAGATGGTACGAGAGAAACTCTCTCAGCCCTATGTATGTCGTAAAAGTTATATTCAATAAAGCTAAGAAGAATAAGTGCTTTGTTCACGTTTGACATCTAAGAAAGAAGGTAACTAGATCCTATTTCTTCATGATCGCGTGAGCACAGAGTCTGCCAAATTGGGATTGGATCTCAGATCAACCACGCCTACCACTGCATGGTCTAATCTATTTATATTTTGGGGAGATTCTGGATTCAATGATCTTCAATAAGAGGTAAAGAATAATGATGACCAGTGATTTCAGAGCTTAACCAACAAGAGTCCAAATTTGGATATTAAGCGTTTAGTTACCAATCAGTGTGCAACCGTACAGATTGAATTCCGGGCTCATTCCAGATGTAACCTGATGCAGAAGACATACGCCAGAATACAAATTAGTTGTTGAAAGATCACAAAGAAAGAAACAAAACAGGAAGGTTGGCAAATACATTAAATATTCAGCAGCGTCAAAATGTGAAGATGGGCTTTTCAAAACTCAATAAGCAATGTTGGAATGGGTGAGCATAGAAAGTAGAACCTTTTTTCCACGTGTCAGGGTGAGTCTGATGTGTGCATTGTCAAACATCCCATTCGAGATAAGAGTCTTAAAAATAGCATTCTTAACCTGTAGTTTCATTAGATAAATAAAGGTAAGCAAGCTGCTGGAATAAAATGTCTCTACATAACCTAGTTGTTAAACTACAACAATACATTTACATAGTACCAAATACAACTTTGTCCGAAGGTCATTCAAAAAAATGCGCTCCTTGCATTGGACTATTTGAACTCCTTAGATGATAGAACCATACGAGAATAATGTAAATTCTAAAGAAACACAGCCAATTTCAGCTTACCTCTTCACTACTGGGAACATTACTGAAAGCCAAAGCTTTTGCGGAGTCAAATAATCTGGTTAGAAAAGGAAGTTTCAGTTAAAGGTCAATTATTTAAAGGCATCATACAAAAAATTAGCAGATGAAAAAACTGTGAAAAGTACATGCTAGAGACTGATATCTAAAATGCATTGGAACAACCAGCAGAATGCTTTGTTTTATGCAACTTTAGAAAACAGACCTATCTAGATGATCATTAAGCTTAAAAATCTTCCCCCTGTAGACACGGAGTCCTTCCCAAACTGCATCACCACCTTGTACTACAGAGTCAAGCACTGAAACCTGTGAAAATCTGAGTGTCAAAATGTATGGAAAATATAATTCAGGAATTATCATAACTAAACATCAAAGAACCAAGAGTAGTGGTAAAAAATAACTAAAAATATGACAAAATACCTTTGCACTATCACGAGTTAAGAGTTCATCTCCAACCCAAACAAGAATCTTCTTATTTTCGGAAACAGGAAGCGTAGGAACAGGTAAGGAAGGCTTCAATGCGAATGATGATCGCTTCACATGGCGCCTTAGTAGGTTGTAGAATGGTAGACTTTGCTCCAATAACGCATACAATGCAGGGGGGAGTGGCTGAAGAGTAACCCAGGATGAGACATAAGATAACATCACAGTTCAATAATCAAAAGATAGCTAAAATCGAAAATAAGGACAAGTATATATCTACAATACATTGCCCGGAGAAGAACCGTGGTTAATAAGGGAGGGGAGATGACATAACCAAGCAGAAAATATTTTACCCTGGTAAAACAAGTATCCAAAAATAGGATAGTTCAAAAGAAAAGAAACCAAAAGTTGAGCGCAACATGTAAAAATAATCTATTTATTCATGTGTATATGTGCACGCATTGAAAATGATATTAAGAATATAAAGATACTTGTATCATTTCCCTCATCGTTAGTTATTTATTGTATTTTATATCTAATACCCTGAAGGCTATTTTTACCATGCAACTTCGTTGAGGTTTATCCTAATTATAAACAAATTCAGAGGACCCAGCCGACCCACTTTTTTTGCCAATTGTCACCTCTTTGATGTGCATCTGTCGTCTTCTTATCTTATCTTCTATCAACATAATATCAGAACTCTTGTGTCAATTAGTCAACAGATCAAAGAAGACTTGTCCTAGACCATGAAAAACGACTTGAAGTTCAAGACTTGTTCAGGCACCAAGGGAACCGGTCAAACCTCTTTTCCCTTCTCTCTCTGATTTTATACAGCAAGAGTTCAAATCCAATGCTCTGGTCGGTCCTCTTTTCGCTATTGTCTTTCACATATGTCAAGACGACACTAGGTCATTCCTGGGCGGACAAAAGACTCGGGACAATTCTCTGTCTTCTCTAGATGCCAGCAAGTTAGAAAATTGCGGGTTTTCCCTTTAACCCCAATATTTCTTGATAAAATGAGGACTCATCAAGTGTGGACACTTACAAAGGAAATTTATGTGCAGAGATAGAAAATAGCTCATATTTATCATCTAATAATCGACATACATGCCACAAACCAAGCAACTATGTCAGTCACAAGGTGACCATTTATCCTACTTGTGATTGGTGTTATTGACTCTTGACTAACTGATGATATGATAGTTGCCCTTACCTCATCGTCTTGTTCCCCTGATTCAATACAAGATGAAGTAACTATTGTAGAGAGTACAAGGCTCACTATTCTTGACCAAGAGGCCATTAAATTTGATGATCACAGAAGCTTGTCTAGTCCAAGTCTGAGAACAAGTCTTTTATTATTCAATTGTTCTCTCCCCACCTCATGTCTTCACTTTTATCAGTCTTTGGATACAATCTTTCCTAAGCTTGCCCAAGAACTAGTCATGGCACCTTTCTAGAGTACTTTTTTACAAACAATATGATTCAAGGTAGAATGATGTCACCCTCTTTCAGTATGCGCAATCAGGAGTTAGTTTCTGTTGGTCAGTTTCCTAGTTGGTCAGTTTCCTTAACCTAGGCAATTTACATTTTTGTGACCAGGGTAATTGTGTATAACTAGCTGTTGTACAATGATTTGATTAGTGGAAGAGATTTTTCCTAACTTTTTATCCTTCAATGGTTTGTGTCATGGTACTAGAGCCTTAGGCTTGTAAATTTGGGAACTTTTTCTGTGGTCTTCATCGTGATTTTCCAGGTCAGACTTAATTGCTGACAATCTCTCTTGATTATTGACCTTCATTGTTGATTCTCTCAGCCTTTAAGACCAACAATCCTTTTTCCTCTATTAGAATTCTATTTCCTTTTTTATTTCAAAATCTAAGTGTTGAAAGTTCCACTATCATGTCAGTAAACATACTAAACACAAACGTGTCTTCTCTAATTTGAAAAGAAAAAAGTTTTATCCCTTTTTTTCATATTCATAGTGATATCTAGGGTCCTTCAACCGTTCCTGATGTTTCTAGGGTTATAGATGGTTTATGACATTCATCAATGGTTGCACTCATGTTACCTGGATTTTTCCACTTAAACATAAATCTGATTGGAATATTGTTCTCCCAAATTTTTGTTGTATGATTAAGAATCAATTTGGAGTAAATGTCAAACGGTTTAGGTCAGATAACGTTAGGAAGTATGTCAATCAAATTCTGAGTTCATATTTTCAAACAGAAGGAATAGTACATAAGTCATCATGTGTCAATACATCACAGCAAAATGGAATAATAGAAAGGAAAAATGATCATTTTATTGAGGTAACCCCAGCCCTTCTTTTCCAAAACAATGTGCTTAGGTCTTCTTGGGGAGAAGCTATTCTTACAACCACACATCTCATAAATTGTCTACCTTCTAGAATCTTAAGATTCAAGAGTCTAATAGAATAATTATCATTATTCCAACTAAACTAACAAATTACAAATAATCTTGTCCCTAGGATATTTAGGTGTGTATCATTTGTTCATGTTCATGGCAACATAGGGGGCAATTAGATCCTAAGGCATTAAAATGTCTCTTTGTGAGTTGTTCTCCAAGTCAAAAAGGGTATGAGTGTTATCAAACTCCATCAAAGAAATTGTCCCAATTGATGTCACTTTCAATGAACAGAAGTCTTACTTGACTGCACCTTATCTTCAGGAGGAAAGTTCAATCAATGAAGATAAGGATGGAAATTTTTCTTACTTGATGTATCATCACATCCTAAGTCTTTCCCCATTCCTTTGTTTGAATCTTTAATTTGAAACTCTGGAAAATCCTCAAGAAGCTAGATATTGATAGATATCACTATCAAGGAGAAGCTGAAGAGTAGATTGATTTGTACATCTTATACGTCCACACATGGCCAACTTGTAAATGTACTTACTAAGGGACTAAGTAGTTCAATATTTCAGAATATTATATCCAAAGTAGGAATAGAGTAGCCTGTTCACCAGCTTGCAAGAGAGTGTGAGGAAAAAAGGTACAAGTAAAGATAAGGTTGTTGGTCAGTGTCCTATGCTTGTTAGGTTGTTGGTCAATGTTGTATCACAAACCACGAAATTCTTCATTCCCTCATTCTAGCTGTCAACCATTTCCAACATATCTGCAGGGATTTATATAGACCAAATCTAGAAATTTGCAGTAGGGCAACTTTTTAAAACTACTTCAACCTTCAGTCTATGAAAACCAAAGCTTCATTCGGCCAAATGAACAGTTCCAATTAATTCTGTGAAAGAGACTTCATAGCTCAGCTTGCACATGATACATTTCTGTTTCTTACTTGTTGGATAGTCAATGGCGCTCATATCCTACCGCATTACTTTCGAAGGATGTATTCACCCTACGTGAATCAGATCTAGGGCTATCCAGAATGTTATCAATCATAGCCTTCAGTCTCAATGACAGAGATATCTTTATGATAATTTTCCTGTCACTGTAAACTAATCAGTCTATAGCTGTATATGTCACTACGTGTGCATATACAGCCTTTGATGGACCATGAGTTAGCATTAAATTCCTCAACGACACACTCAATCATCCTTGGTAAGATTCAAAAAAAATTGAACAATTTATTTGGAAAGGTATAGAATCCTAGTGATTTTTCTACCTCAACTTTGCAAATCAGAAACTTCACATCCTCAACTTCCCACACAAGTTTCGTGCAGACCACTCGAAAACAGTTGAAGCTCAGCATTTACAAAGGTAAACTACCACCAATTATCATGCACCATAAACCATAACCGTTGACAAATAACACTTCATTACAGCAGTAATAATGGGGATATTCATACTGTGGGATATGGACGTGGGGATGAGAATCCTGTAGACTTGTGTACACTCCCATACCACCAGGGCGCCCAAATTCCATCTATTGCCTTAGGACCAGCTTCCCACCTGAAACACAACGTAGCACCTTAATAGCCTACCTTTATTTATACCACATAATATAGCCATGGGAAACAAAAAATATGGCACAAGAAGATCCCAGTGGTATTGATAGGTCAACAGATAGTCAATTGGTTATGTGAGATGGAAAATTTCCCAAAAGAGGAAAAACAACTGTAAAGCAACATCAGTCAAGTCAATAAAATCTACCCAATAAGAAATGCTCCACTACACCTTGAAAAGAGAAACACGTGAAAAGGAAACACAGCTCTGATTTACGTCATATTCTCAAAGAAAAAGAGCCATCCAGAGAATTTCCGCTCAAAATGATACATTGCTGCATGAGCAAGTTCGTGCATACGGCATAATATATCTTGAATTAGTCTACACGATGGATATCCCTATAAAAAGGTATAGTTGATTACCCTACTCCAAAGAGAGATTCTGGCTTCCTATGGGACTGTTTGGAATCCTCCAAGGTCAGCATTAGACAAGAGGAATCTATGAAATCCTAGCACTGAAATGAGATGCAATTTACATTTGAGAAGACAAATATTCATTGCGGTCTGCCTTAAACATATGAACAAAGGTATATTATAATTGATTCTGACCAAGGGCAGTACATAATTACTTGTCAGGAATCAGAAACATTCAGAACACAATGAGGGACCAAAACTGATATAACTCTGCTTGCCAGAATCATGGTTGTGATATAGCCCACATCATTTAATATAGTTCAAGTGTTTGTGTAGAATGCTGTTGAGAATTCAACGGCAATACATGACTTTGAAGATGGCAAACCCATTGGCATAACGTTTATCGAAAAATGTACAAAAAGTATGAAGATAATCAGTCATCAGAATAACCCTGTTGACCCCTCTGTATCCTGGGTTTGATCCAATTTAAGGTCCACTGTTGTCAGCCCAGGCTGACTATCCAGAAAAAGAGCAAACTAATCTATAAAACCAGGTTGACACATTTGAATGCTCGAGTCTACTGGTCTAAACTCTATTTTTTTACCAAGCTATGGCTGGGGTTGACTGTCTGCCTGTCGGGTCAAACCTAACCCGAACTATATCACATGGATTTCTACAAAATCTGGCCAGGTCTATCCAGTTTCTTTTAATTTGTCTGTTTTATAGGCTTTGAAGACCCAAAGTCAGGTTGACCCATCTGCATCTGTGGTGGTTGTCAGGTCTTAAAAAGCTGCCAAACCAGCATTTCACAGCATTTCAGGGAGTTTTTCAAAGGTCGGAGGTCCCCAACATTGCCCAATGGCTAGTCTGACTCTTCAAGTTATAAAGAACATAAAAAGAGCCTCACAGGATAACAAGCATTAACAGACAAACATATAACTCTACCTACACGGACTCAACACATGGTAAGAGTGTTCATCTCTGGTATTAAACTTCAAAAATTCAATGGTTTAGGTCAGATCGGCCAATCTGAGATCTGGCTTTATTTGAGCCCGGAACTTGCATAGATGATAGAGTATGATCAATACACAGAGGCATCTTGAAGAATCTAAAGAGGGGGAAATCGGGAAAAAAAAAAGCCAATAAAAGAAGGGAGGGAGTAGGAGGAAAAGAAAAAAACAAAAAGGGAAAGGCACTAGCGGCTAGGTGGCTGCCTTAGCCATGGCATTATTCCTGCCTATGCTTTAGATCAGAATCTTTTATGGCACAGAGCATTAACAGGTAGCACCACCAGCAAGTAAGAAAGGGGGCAGAAAAATTCGTCAGTTTCATCAAAAGATTATTGAGCTCTACTTTTCTTTCTCTATTTGATGGCCTTGGTGAATGCACTAAAAAGTTAACAAAGAATTCTAGTAAAAAGAAAGATAACATCTGTTCTTCTTAAAGATGAGATATATCCTCATATTCAGTAAATGATCAACCTACAAAAATGGTCTTTAAAATTTTAGAAAAATCCATGACGAGCTACGAAATGGCCCCTACATGAACTCTTAATATGGGCAATTCATCAATCCACTACTAGTAGACGCCCAAAGATGGCATGAAGCAGTAGTGAAACCGTGGTCAAGCTTTAATTCCAGACTAGCTGGCAACCACTATAGTAACATCCCCATCTTCCGTAAATGCTAAAACGAAAAGCCAAACAAAGCCAGGAGACGCTTTGGATGGGTATGATTGTACAAAGCTTGAATCTAAAGATTCAAGCTTTATGTTCCCCTTCTTCACATAGGGTTGGTAACCAGGTGAGAAAGTGAAGTGCAATATATTCTGGAAGAGTGAATCAAGATGGCACCTTGTTGCCCAACCAAAAAGAAATAAATAGGTCCAATACTTTAAGACATAAAAGGCAGCCACAGTCCCTCGAGATAAAGATCACAAAAAATTTATGTGCATAATCTAGGATAACAACAGCATCCGGAGGAACCGCAATATACCATAATTGCTCACATCCTCCTCTTAGCCATGTCATGGCAAAGCTGATAACAAAAGGATCAAACAACCAATTACCTGAGCATTGATGTCTGGAAAGGAATATCTAAATCTTCACAAAGGCCACGCAAGATACCCTGCACACACACACAAGAACGCTTTGATTAACAGAGGATTCAGGAAAACAAACAGATAATAAAATAAAAAGAAGTACACTTTGAAATCCACTAAATGCACGAAAGCTGGTAAACTTTAAGAGGGAAAATTAAAGAATGCATAGTTTTCTGATAGCACAAATGCTGTGACAGAAAAAACTGGAGAAAATGTAAAATAATTGCCTAGTCCAAAGACATTCAACAGGTGTCCTCTGAGACATAGCATGGGTTGCAAGTAATGGTTTCTACAGTAAAACTATGGTAAATGGTCTGTCAAGTATGTTTAAAATGCATACAAGAATGTCCATAATTACAATAGCAATTATCTAACCTCAGGATCTCCTTGAAGGTCATCTGCATCAATGATAGGAGGAGGATTACCAAGTTCACAAAGTTCACAATAGATGGAGACGAGGCTTCCAAAACCCAGCTCAAGAAATGATGGCGGTATAACTTTGTCAAAAGAAGGCTGCAACATATTCAACAAGAATTTTATAAAGTTATCAGCAAAAACATGTACCAAAATTTTAAAGAAACGCATAAATTTTCGTCGGGATGATGCTTCCTTTAAATTTTTTGATACCATCAGGAAAGGATAATAATATGAAGATAATAAACACTCGATCCAATGGTGCACGCCCATAAACTAGATGTGCGAAATAAATATCAACCGTGCCATTCCCATATAGAATAGCAATAAGATATGAAAGCATAGTCGCATGAAAGATTACAGATTTTTTCCAGGACTATTGCTAGACTAAGATTTCTAGAGAGGTATATAATCTGTCAACCTGAAAGGTATGATTGTTAGATTGAGGATCAGTATCCTCGAATGTTTGGTTCAAATCAGAAGCGTTCATTAGTTATTGGTAGTCATACAAAGAGGGGAAGAAAAATAACGCAATCTAAATGTTAACAGTAGGTGAGGAGATGAAAACATAACATAAAAATATAAAAAAGATACCAAGTTGAAGTATAAAACCAGTAACCACCATAATCTCTTCCAATCTAGCCAAAGCCTATCATATATGAAGATAACTCTGCTTATCAAAATTACCAAAATTCATATTTTCCCATGGTAGACAGATTTAGCATTTGTTTTGCTGTCTCTCCTTACTGACTTTGAGAAATGAAAAACATACAAGTTAAACATATTTACACTTGGCAAGGTCTACGTTTAAGCCCAATTCGTGACAATAATAATACCAAATATTGAACCCCAAATGAGAGGAATTGTGTCCGACAAGAACCAAAATAAAAAGTGCATAAACAGTACCAAGATTTGAAGGGGGCTTCTAATCAATATGAAGTGCTTCCCTTTCTTCATCATATCATTTGACAAGCTTGGAAGCCGTTGCTTTGCCATATGCTGCATTAAATAGATTAAATAAATTCAGAACAAACGAGTCAACTAATCATTCATAGATACATATCCAACAGAAATAATTGATAAAACGCAGAAAATCATAAAGACCATTTATTCCCGTAAATGAATGCAATAATTGATATGAAGGAAACTGAACAAGAAACTCCTGGGCCACATTAGGACAAATCACAGAGTAAAACTTAGAGAACCCACCACTTCACTATGAAATATTGAACTTTTTAAGCGTGTCAAGCTTCAGTAGTATTAAGTCTGGTAAACATCCCAAATAATTTTGCAATATCTACAAATGATAATAAACTGATTCCCAGTTCATTAACGCAAAAAAAAAATATGGACTAAGATTCATTTTATTGATTAAGTTGCAACTGCTTTGGAAAGAGACAACTAGGACTAGTCATAAAAATTCGATCAGTTAATCATGGCACTTGGTAGACTATTCTAATGATCTACCATATGCTTTTCCTAAGCCTCCAGAACCTTCAATCTCATATAATTTGATGGCACAAAACAGTAGGTAAATTTCAGCAAAATAATTCCAAAGATAAAAATTGTCAACGTCTACAGTAAAAAATATTGACACTTTTGTTTAGTTACTATTGTCTTGACAAGAAAGTGTTGACACTGAAGGGTTGGTATTTTCTCATCTACTAGTAAAAGCATAAATTAGCTATAGAAAACTTATATCGGGCATGGAAACTTCATCAAGGTTACTAACTTATGATAATTAAAGTGCATGCTAAAAATCAACTACAATCTGGATTACCTTGCATAAACGATACCTCTTTTTACCAGGACCAAAGATCACCTCCTTGACCACTTTATTCCCATCAGGATCCTGCATTGAAAATATATGCATAGAAAGTACATCATAAACTAAGGATCAAACAGGAAAGTGCAGCAGCACAAGGGGAGAATAGATGATCATTATGACAATGCTCGATTAATAAACAACATGTCAATCGATATCAAGAAATATGGCCACAGTAAAGAAATCTATGAAACAAAAAATACAGCGCATGGTATCATACAAATCATAAACGAAGCAATATACATGTAATTGATGTGAAGAATCTACAGAGGTCACCATAAGAATCAATTACCACGACAGGAAGTTCATGAATTTATAATTTACATGGAACTATTAATCATAAACAAGAGAAAAAAGCAACAAGTACTCTGTGTAACTTGGCATACCATTTTTGACAGAATTTCATCACGATAGGGTCTATCAGCTCCTGTAACTTTCAGAAAATTTGCATAAAGAGGTTCATCAAGGACCTCCATATCATCTCTCTGAAAGTAAAAACAGTATAACAGAAGTAAGCAGTCATCAGAACCTCAACATCGTCGAAAGGGATGTATCTCTGCTACTGCTAGAAGGGAAGCAGCTTAACACGTACTATTTCTTTTCTATCAAGAAAATTCAGAAAGGGAAAATGTAGATCAGTAGGTGTTAGAACAGATCCGACATTCAAACAAAGCCAACTCCAGAGTTTCACCACAATGCAATACGGTTATTTATGCTTTTACCAGAATATGCATTCTTTGGATCTTATTGAATAAAATATCTCGATAAATTTTATCAGTCGTTTAGATAGAGACAACAAAACCTACAATGATTCTTTTAATCCAGGATCCTCCATCCGTTTCGCAACATTTTTTTGAGTGCCCAGAACATTTGCACGTGTAAAAAGGGACACAAAAGGATAATATTTCTTCCAAGTCCGCATTTAACATAAATCAGATCACTCGTCTGATGAGAAATCTGTGAGCCCTATTGGTCATCATGGATCAAAAAAATTATTTCTTTAACAATGCAACTAAGAATAAAAATTAGCCGAGTCCATAAATTTCGAAAACCAAAGCATCAGTGAAATATTCTGTCTGGCTGACTAGTTGGCTCACATAATCTGGGCAGTGACCCACGATAACTAACACCTACGCAAACAGTACAGCGTTTAGGAGAAAAACTTCTTGGCTAAATCGTAAATGTCAAGCGGACGAATGGAAATAACTTCTCCAAAGAAGTGGAGACCTTTCCGGTCCCACAGATTAGATGAGCGATGATCTATCAGGTTACTTTCTAGCCAACTTAGATGAGCATAAACTGGGAATATGAATCAAGAATGACCCCAAGTCGTCCACAACATCCAGCGCAGAAGTAATTCTTGAAAAATGAATGATCGAAACTATAATTGGATGGAATAAGAGGAACCCGCATTCAGACAATGACGCGTCATTCTTGGGGGACCAGCATCGGCCAGGAGAATGGATTAATTCCGATTCCCCAGGCACATTCGTCACTTCCGATGAGAGACAGTTGAAATGTAATCAGACCCGGCGGGTGGACGGCGTTGAGACCTGAGCGAAGGAGTACATTAGGCTGGTGCTGAGGGACCGGGGCGCCGACCACTGGTGGATCACCTCCACCTCCCTGTCCCCTTCCTCCTCCTCCTCCTCCTCCTTTGCGGCGGCGGGCGCCACCTTCTCCGCTTCCATTCCGGCGGGCGTCACCGCTTCCCTGCGCCGCCACCCTCGAGATCAGCAACGGCCCCCACGAGCTTCCAAGAGGCGAATCCAACATTTGACTTTGTATACTCGGAGCCACCTTAAAAAAATGGAGTCTTGGAAAGCCACTTCCAAATGCGGCTCCCCTTCTCCTGCCAGAGGAATCGATCGGGTGGGGACCCATCCCGCCGCTTTTCCCACCGCCTCGGCCGCGCCTCCGTGCGATATATACGAATACGTGTCAGTTAAACAGTGTCAGAGAACCTGAACACACGACCCACATAGCCGGTCGTGAGAGAGAGAGACAGATGACAATGATGAGCGATAACGAGTAAATTGTCGCCGAATTTTGAAGTTACATTATTAGGAGACGAGTGTTGACATTCAAGAGGGAGTAGTCTACGGAGCTCCTCTCTCTCTCTCTCTCTCTCTCGATACATCTATAAATATTTCTTTCTATTTATAGAGAGAGAGAGAGAGAGAGAGAGATGGGAATCTTCTTCAGGTAGCCGATCCTCAAAATCGAGCCCAAAATGTTGCAGAACTCGGAAGTTAGACCACATTAAAAGCAAGAATAAACGCATGCTCGAGTAAATTAATAATTTCTTATTTTTTAGGGTTAATCTCTTAAAAATCAGGGACAAACATCTCTGGGTCCCTCCCTCTCTCTCTCTCTCTATCTCTCTCTTTTTATCCATCTATTTATATATATTTGGCTTTCGAGAGAAAGGAAAGGGCCTTTTCTATCTCTGCAAAATCTGAAGAATTTGGGCTATAAATAATTCATAATAATTATATTTTTAGCCGTTTCCTCTTCAGTGGGTGGATAGGGGATGAGATTTTTGGATCAGCCTTCCAAACACCATTTTTTTAATTAGTTTGCTCAAAATTGGCTTTTGGGAATAAAAATAGAGCAGAATAAGGTGAAGGATTCTACAAGCGATTCTCCCCCACCACTAGTCCTCTTTAGTGGCCTTGCTCTTCGTGTGACGATGGGCACGGTGGAGATTCGATCGCAGTCACCGGGAAATAATTGGACGGTGGTGATTTCCCCCGGGTGGCACCATCGTCCCACGTGCAATGCGCTTCACGTCGTTGACTTTGCTACGAAGGACCGCGCGCTCATGGGGCCCACCAAATGTAACGTCGCGATGTTGAAGAACGTTTGGTGGCCGGGATACGAGAGCAAGTGCGAGGTGATGGTGCAAATGGTGAGGACTAATTAAAAAGGATCCTCTGGTAATGGTGCAAATGGGTATTTACACATATAACCCTATTCGAAAAATAATTACCTTCGAGGGGCTAGCGAGAGTCACCTGAGAGATTGAGCCATGAGCAAATGATTGCTGATGGTTTTTTAAGGTGGGTTTGCGTTAAAAATGCATACTAGGTCCTAAATAAGGTGACAACTTCGTCTATACCCTTATTCTAAAAATAATTTTTCTTTCCAGATATTTTATATGTTAAACGGCATTTTGGGGAGAAGCAGGCGGGGTAGTATGCCTACTACAACAAAACGAATTACTTTACCATTGCGGATTGATAGATATATAAATATATAAACTAAGGAGGGGTGTTTTTGAAAAACTACATTTGAGAGGGATAAAAGTCAGCCAAGGCTCGAGTCGCGAAGCAATTTAATGTTTGGGGAGCAGCGGAAAAATACCGGGAAATCCTTGGAAAATTTGAAATTCCGGCCGCGTCGGTTGAATCCCTCTCGTTCCTGTCGATCGATCTCTGACCGGCCGGCTGGCTGGCCCCCAGGGTAATGGAGCAGCTCGTCAATTTCATCATAAGGCCGCCAAGGTGAGAGGAGGAAGCAAGCCGCCCGCCTTGGCTCCCTCTCTATTTCTTTTGCCGTTCCTTTTTTCCGCATGCCCTAGATGTTCTTGAGGATTCCGTGTCTGTGCAGGCGGGGTTCTGCTTTGGTTGGTTTTGGCTGAACAAGGACGGTTGCTTTTAAATGATGTTTCGTTCGTTTCTTTCGTTCGTTTTAAGGCGAATTCGAAGATAACTTCGCGGTTTGCTGACGCTTGCGACGGTGTTCCGCTGCTTTTTTAATTTTTCCTTTGTCGTGAACGGGAGGCGAGTTTTTATATGATTAGTGATCAATAATAGAATAATTCTTTCAACTGCGGGGTCTGTTTCCTTCCTCTCCGAAAGGAAGATCATTCAGAGTTGGGTTTTCATGGGGACTGGTATGCATGGTTGGTAGGCTCTGGAGCAGCTGTAAGTCGATTTAAAATCTTTTTCTTTCAATTTCGGTGTTTTTCTAATCCACTTTTGTGCGGTCTTAGCGCATGCATGAATGATGAATAAACGCATGGGCTGTTCTGATACTAAAGAGGGTTCAATGTTGGTGATAGCGACGATGGTGTTTTCAGATACATTTAATGCTTATGAGATTGGTCTCAGAAATTGTGTTTTATGTTAGTAGTCTGACTTATAATTTTATGTTGTTTCAGAGCTGATTATTGCCCCAAAAACGACTTGCTAGAAGACGAATTCACACTGAAGGGTAGACGGTTCCAGAGAAAAGATTTGCAGGTACCCTTCATTTCTCTTTAGAACGAGAAATTGTTTACAGTTGCTTGGTGGCCATTTTGGAATGATCAGTATATTGCCCTTAGCTTCCTGGTTACCAGTATTAAGTGGGTAATTTATCTAGAGGACAACTTTTTCATATTTTTATATGGACCGTTGAAGAACCGTCTATTCCATTGATCTGGTTTCATTTGTTTGGAAGCAAGGCCGTTTTGTATTTTATTTTGTGATGGCATAATCACGAGTCTTTTCAGATGATGAGTATCATTGTTGGGCTTTCCGAGGACCTGTCTGGTGTGTCACACTGTAATCTAGGCTGGGGTTGAACCTTAACAAAAAAAAAGTAATTAAATACGTACCAGTAACTTTGTAGTCGGGCTCTAAGCGTTTATGAACCCCAATCCTCTCTGCTTATCATGCTCTTCCTGTTTCTCTCCCCTGGCACTTGCAAAAGCGTCTCTACAGCATTATAAATATTTTCCACAATCTCTCTAATCTTGTAGATAGTTTCCCATCTAGTGGGATGGGTAGTGAGTGCGTGTGGCCTGGTGCATGTTTTGTTGGAAATACAGAGTGAGGCCTTCATTTGGTGCATGCACTGTCATGACTGGATGTGTTGCCTGACTTAATCCACTGGCATGGTTTATACTGTTTCTCTGGGAAGAATGATTTTCGTTGATAAATGAAGTATTTTTTGTCAACTAGTTCAAAGTTCAGTATCAAACGTGAAAATTTGTTGGTAAGTTTGGCGATTGTCATAGTCAAATTTTTGGTACAGGTGTAGAGAAATCATCATATTAAGTGAGGGATGCTTTCTGTGGCTGAAGAAATTGAAATAATGATGAGTGCTGTATCCAGACAGGTTGCCATGGGTGGTGGTTCGGATGGTCTGGGTGTGTGATGATATTCTTCTGATGCAAATATTGACAGGTTGCTTTAGCCAGGTGCCATTCCACTTCTAATATTTATGTAGCCTATAGCAGCCAGCCCTGGTATTTAATGGGAACAAGGAGTTTCTCTCCATAAAGTAATGCCAACGACTCCTCTCTGTTTCTGTCATACCTACTTCTGTTTTAATCAGAAAACTTAATGCGTTAACCTCTCATTGTTCCTTAGAAATTTTCACTTCCTTGATCAAACCTGGCACTATTTCTTTTGCCCATGTCAAGTTACGGGAGTGTTCTAGCAGGAGTTGTAGCAGTGGTGATGTTCTCTCTGGCTCATTTATCTAATAATATCAAACCATTAAGATGATTCCCCATTGATAAGAGTAAAACATGCAGATAAAAATGCAAACCAAAAATTGAGTTAATCCATTCATGCTAATAGACAAACAAAAATGTCCTTCTAATGCCGTCCCAATTAATATTTCTTTAAAAAAATGGAAGACACTGATTGTGCATACGCTAATCAGTCTTTTTTTCCTCTTACAAACGCTACTGATTATCTAATTTTGATTTTATTTATAATAGGTTAAAAATATCCGCGGGAATGTGCTCCAATGTAGTCACTATCTTCCCCTCTCTATTCCAGAAGGGGAGGCACTTCCCTGTGTAATATACTGCCATGGAAACAGGTAATTATAAATTTCCATATCTTACATATTCAGACTATGCTTTTATGTTGAATGCTCGTTGTCTCATATTTTATGCTTTTTTATACATTTTTTTAGGATAGATGGTTGTGAGCATTGGTTGTTTACTTTCTAAAGATAGTCGTTACTTTTTGGACAACTTGTACCACCCGGTAACGAAGTCCCTCATGTTTTGAATTGTAGTTAAATTTTAATTCCTTTTCATAAAAGATAGTCCGAGACAGATGGCGTGAGGGGACTGACATCTGCCATAAATAATTTTGTTGTGGAGTAATGATGGAGAGAATGCATATTGGGTTGATTACTACCAAATGGATAAGCCGTGATGGCCTTGGAGGTGGTGTTGTGGGAGGAATCAGTAAAGAATGGGACATTGAAGCATAAGAAAATTTCGGGAGTGAACATAATTAAAGAGTCAAAGGTTATGGATCAAATACTATTCTGACAATTTGGATTGTCTGAATCCGGCTAACTTGATCTGCCCTAGATGAAAAGTCAAGAATCGGTCCTAAGTTGCATATTGGAGTTGCAATGTTGTTCTTCTGCTGGTTACTTTTTATTTTCTTGACTCCATTTTGATTTCTATTTGGGGTTAATGAGTACATTTTTTTTCTTAGGCGTTAGTAATGGTTTTGATTTACGGTCTTGATTTATTAGATGAGTTTAATAATTTTAAAAATATTTTAAATATTAATACTTTTCCTGAAGGATATACCGAGGCTTTAGAATGGGAAAGATGGAAATGTCCTTCTTGATTCCGGTTATGTAATGGTTGTGAAAGGAGAGTTTATTCATACATGACTGAGACTGACTAAAGGGTTTATTCATGTCTTCCAGAGGTAAGTTATATTGGTCAATTAGCAGAACTGGCTTCACATCAACAAAAGTCTGGTTGTGCCCTATTTGAACCACAAGTGGAACTGGACCATGCTTAGTCTGCTTCCAGAATTTGTTTGCTTTTAAATTCTTTTGACGATCATCACTTCCCTTTGATATTTTCTTTCCTCATAGACCAGACGAAAGGGATTCCCTCATTTATCCTGAGGGATAAATGCTAAGAAGGGATCTTCACTAGAAATACTGCACTGCATTTTTTAAGAATGATTAGCTTTTTGATAAACCAATACTGGTTATTCTTGAAAATCTTTTACCGGCAAGCCTGGTTTTGTGTCTTTACCTGCTTATGGTTCTGAGAAATAGCAGATACTTGTAAAGGATATTCTTGCAGCCTAGTAACTGAGCCATCTTATGAATCATTCGAGGTTCTAGCCTGCTCTAACATTTTCAATATTCTTTAGAAGACTCCAATCCTTCATGTCTTCTTGTAGGGTATGCTGTAAACCAAAGTTGCAGATGGTTTCAAATGGATCCTGTTGATGTATATGTAGTTCATGCACTTCATGGCTTATGTTGATTAGATTACTTTAAGGCTGTTACATTCATGCGATAACTGACCATCCCCTTGTATGAAGCATGCTTTCTGAGGACTAATATATGTTGCTTTTTGCAGTGGCTGCAGGGCAGATGCTAGTGAAGCTGCTGTTATCTTACTGCCATCAAATATTACTGTATTCACGCTTGACTTTTCTGGATCTGGTCTTTCAGAAGGAGAGCACGTTACATTAGGGTGGAATGAAGTAAGTGTCTCTTGGTGATGCATCTCTAGTTTCAGAAGAAATTAATGAAGCACATGAACATGGTTAATGCTATTAATCTCAAGGTGGAAATTTAGGAAAAGTTTATTCCAAGTCGGATAAAGGGACAAGGTTCTAAGTCTTTGGGATAGTTATAGTTTTAAGTAGCTGTAAATTATGTTTAGGTAGCCAGGTCCCTAAAAAGATTAAAGTACTTAGCTACATGACCTTTCTAAGGTCAGAAAATGGGGAAATTCATGGAGGAAAGTGATGCAAATAAGGTGTTTCAGTAGATAGGGGAGTGGAACTGATCGCCATCTCATTTTTAATGGAATGCCAGCAAATTCAAGTAGATTTTATTTGTGCCATTGATGAGGGGAATAATATTGTTGTCATACCTGTGTCTTATGGCTTGACAGGTGAAGCAAATGTTGCATATTCAACCAATCAGAAGCTGAAATACTGAGGGGTGGTTATATAACACCTCTGGGTTACCAGAATTGATGCTTAAATGCTTGAATACAAAAAATGAAAGCATGAAAAGCTGTGTTGTCACTTAGTTGTGTATAGGCCCTTGAGGGAACATGAAAGGAAATATCTGATCGACTAAAAATGTCTGGTGTGAACTGATCTTGTTCCAAGTATGGTAGCCCAATTTGGATGAATCTTGCTGCCTATTCCTAATCATTACATGGGAAAATTTGTTTACACTTTGTGTGTTTTTTATTTGGCTTTATAAATATTAATGATCCATAAACAAAGCATCACAGGAACTGAAAATCACTGGTGAGTTAGTAGACTGTCATCTAAAGTTTAGCCAATGGATGTCCTGCAAACATGGTGTAGCATATCAGTCTGGTTACGTCTCTTTTAACATTACTCATGTGCGGCAATACAGGGTAGTCCAGTTAACTGGACCAGCTAACATTACTCACAATCCATAAGGTTCGAGCTTAATGAATTCTGTGCTGCAATTATTAAGTCATAGCTTTTCGTTTACATGGCTGAGAGCATGATTACCAGCATGAATCCATGTGACTAGGGTAAAAGTCTTCTCTTGTTCGCCACCTTATCAAGAGTGAACATTTACCAAAAGCTGATAAAAATTAAGAGGATAGAGCGTTACTTTTAAAGGAAGAAATAAGATGGATGCAAGGTAGAGAAATGACAGCTCATGACGTTCAAGCAGAGGAGCCTAAGCATCTACTATGTCAACATGTGGGGCCAGGGGACTGAAGACAAGTAGTTTTGAGATGTATTAATTCATTCCTTCAGAATCCTATTTTCGAAAGAGGAAGTTTTAGTGACCATTTAAATAGGGAATGACGTTGAACAGAATTTGAAGTGGATTTCTAACAGAAAGAAATTAATTGCACTATCCATCTTCAAAATGCCTGGAGCTGCAGACAGTCAAAATTAATTTTGAAAAGTATATGGTTCAATGTGCTGTGCTTATTTATATAGTACTCTTAGTGTCATAAGAAAACTTATGAAGAAGGGAAAAGTTGGTGGTTTTATTGAGGGAATCTAGTTTCATGCAGAGAATTTCGGGTACACTCACCCGAAATTCATGCAGAGAATTTCTCAACCCTTTTTTTCTTGGGGGCTTATGGATTTGTTACCCAGGGAGTCCGTTCGTCCTAGTCTCCTTATATTTAAAGGAGTGTCTCTTCTTGTGGATCGTAATTTTCATTTATCACAGTTGACTCAGCGCGGGCATGGGCATGGACTTGAGGTATTGAAACCATGTAAAAATTGTGTTCATTTGTGTGTGAGATCGTCCCTTATTTTTTCTCTTCATTATGGGAGGATTTTGTTCCCTGTGACTTCTGCAATATTTCAATGACACATAGTTGATTGAGACAACGTAATAGTTTGTCTTCTGTCTAGAAGTGTCAATACGATTGAAGGGAGACAATCAGAAATCGAGGATATTATTCCATAATAAAAATATCCACAACGGTGTGGAGAATTGCAGCAGGTATTAAATAACGTTCACGTATTATCTTTGTTTGACATGCAAGTTGGTTTCCTTTGTATGTTTTCGTGTTTGATTTTACGATTTAGATGTATTATCTTAGTCAGGATTACTTGACTTGAACTCTCAGAAGTTCCATTGAAAATGCCATTGGTCATTTAGAAACGGTTGGCAAGTCTCTGTGAAGAACGAAATTCCATTTCCTTAATTGATTATTCGTCACTGAACCGTGGTGATTGTTAGAAGCTCATTGTTTTGAACTCTCAGAACTTATGGGTTTTCTGTTATCTTTCACAGAAGGAAGATCTTCGGGCTGTGGTTAACTATTTGCGAACAGAAGGAAATGTATCTTTTATTGGTTTATGGGGGCGCTCCATGGGTGCTGTTACCAGGTTTTCTTTGGACTAAATTTGCTTTTCCTTTCTTCTTTGATGGCTGTGTGTTCTTCACTTTACATTTATAGCTCTCAACTATAATCTGGTTGTTATCTGTGAGAGGTACACAGCATTTCAGTTCATTGTTCATCTCAGATTAAATACTGACTCTAGCACATAAGAAAGCAGTGAAAAAACAAATGATTATCTCCTTGTTCTTTATCTCAATTTTTTTCCAGAGGAATAGGGCTACATGCATTCTCTTTATGAAAGAGTGTCATTAGCGTCTTAAGAAATTTAGGCTTCTCTTCGGTTTTTGTTCTTATTCTTATCATTCCAGGGGGAACTTTGTGGTTGTAAGGTTGTTGATCTTGCTTAAATGCCATTTTTAAAAATTATCGGGAGGAGGAACTTTGGAAGCCACATCCTTGAATTTCTTATTAGGTTGATTTTAGGTGTTCTTCATCTGCTTTGCATGGAGAAGAAGCATAGTATTTCTGTTAGTTGACAAGTTATAAGTCATGCTTCTTTGAAATGATCACTCTAGTATATATAACAGCACGAGAAATCTATTATTTTTCACTGTTGACCTAAGCTATGTCTATGGTGTTCTTTGTGGCAATTTCATTCTTGCAGTTTAATGTATGGAGCTGAAGATCCATCCATTGCTGGAATGGTGCTTGATAGTCCCTTCTCAAATTTGGTGGACTTGATGATGGAACTTGTTGATAGTTACAAATACCCCTTACCAAAATTCACGGTGAGTATGATACGTTAAAACACGATTTTAATCATATTAAGATGTTATACAGTAACAAAATCGCAATAAACACTCTAATATAATGTAGACATTGGATATCTGAAATGATATTGGATACACTATGTGATGTAAGATATTCTGAATCTCGAATCCTGAATGTTAATCCTATTTTGTGAAGACAATCGTATTTGAATCATCATATAGTGTTACTGATTGGATTTCAATCCAAGGATTCACATTTTATGCCTGAAAAGAAATAATAGAAAATATCCTTCACAATAGTCATGGGTTTAAGGGGATTTCCTCAAATTTGTCCTTTGTTATTACTATTCGCTTTATGAAAGTACATTTGATAACTGTAGAAATGTCACCAGCATACACAAGTAGTATACAAGTGTTCATGATCTCATGAATTGGTTTTTTGACAAATTTCTGTTCTCTAGAAGAAAGTCATGTAACTTTGATGGGGAATAGTCAGATGATGGGTAATAGGTCAAATAAAAATATTTGTGAGTGGTTTGAGTTCTGTGCATTTTCTCACGTACTTCATCCAACTTTGTGGGCACGGCTGTGCATAGAAGAGACCATGTTTTTTTCAGATCATAATTTATGAATCCATTTTTATTCTATAATTTTTGGACTTATTCTGTAGTCACAAGAGTGTTGACTAAGTAAATTTGTAGACCCATCCCAACATGGAACAGTCAGCACTCCTTAGGATTGAATGGGGTTGCCCCAGATTGGTAGTTAATGTGAGTAGCATTGACTAGACATTATCCAAAATCGAATTCGAACTGGTTGTCAGTATGGTTCGGTTGGTGGATTGAATTCAATTGAATTTGTTGTTAAATAGGCCAAATATTTTTTTAAGGTTTTGTTGTCTGATTTTCATCATCAACCTGTGTTGTGATTAAACATCTATTATATTGGTCTGTTATAATTCAATGTAATTTTCTTTAACCTTCATATCATAGATTCGTTATACGTTTTCTCTGTAGTATCACTGATTTTTACGCAGTAAAGGGTAATGTTCTTTTGTCGTTGCATCATGGCTTGATATATTTGTTCAGTTAATGACTTGTACACCTGTCTTTATGTGTTTATCCAGGTAAAACTTGCAATCCAGCACATGCGCAGAGTCATAAAGAAAAAAGCAAACTTTGACATCATGGATCTAGACGCAATTCAGGTTTAATATTTACTCATGAGTAGCACTAGGAAGCTTTGGGTGGAATATCTTGCTTCTACCTTCTGTTTACAAATAAATTACCAATCTAGGCAACGAATCTGACGTTTCGTTTACTGTCAAATTTTCTCTTCATTTCACTTAGTTCCATTTAATGTTTACTTTCACCTCATTTAGTACATGTACGAAATCCTTATTTTAAGTGTTCTTGAAATTGAAATCAACATTGTTCTAAATATTTTTTCTCAATTTCACGTTTTTCTATTTTGAATAATTTGTTTACATCAGCTTTTGCTGGCACCAAGCTGCATTTAACCCTTTAGAAAGTTGGAGATTGATTGATTTCTCTTACTGAAATCCCCATTCTGATGCATATGAGCACTTGTTGGAATGGCTTTAATGGGGTCAATTCGAAACCAAATCCTGAATGGAAAATAAGTTGTTGTAGTGCTCAACCTATTTTCTTTGAAAGCAGGTCAAGATAGGTCTTCTTTAAATATCTAGGAAAAAAGGGATATGGGTTTATACCTTCATATATTCTCAAAAGGATTATATGATATCTTCATATGTTCTTAGATATCAAAAGACTTATGGTCTCATTTGCCATCAAACACTTATTTTACAGCGGAGATTCTTTGAGATGAGAGAATTGGACTTCAAGAAAGATACCAACGTTTTTGTCTGGTGCAGTCCCTTCTCCTCTATTGTCATCCTCTGTCTGACGTATGTCTGGCGTCCAGTGTCCTCTTCCATCCTCCTCAGTCCAACCTTTATTTTGCATCAGTCCGACTTCCTCTATTTGCATTAGTCCGATGTCTTCCCTAATTTGAATATCAGAGTCTCCCACAGTCCGCACCACTACCGTCTGTGTCATTTGGCACTGTCCCTCCTCCATCTGGTGTCGCCCTTCCTCTGTCTAGCATAGTTCTCTGTCTGGCATCATATCAAGCATGCCAAGGTCATCTTGTGCCATTCAACACCATCTTACATAGTCCCGCAGTCTGGCAATATCTCATGCAGTCTGACATCAGAAGGCATCATTGTCCTATGAAGCATTTCTGCAATGTCACAACCTAGTAGAAGATGAGCTTTTCAACACTGTTACAGGGGGAATTGTTGCAATAACGAATCGTCATCATCACAAGTTTGCTTTCCAACAAACGAATACTTGTCAATGACTTAGTCAAGATGAACTTTTCTCAAGTTCATCCTGAGAGAGAGTGTTGGAAGTTCTAGGTCATTAGGAATACTATAACAGCCTGAGGGTATTTTGGGAAGTTTTTTAGGGTTTCTCCTTACATAATGGGTGTTAGAAGTAATTGAGTCAGTTTTTGTTGTTCCCCCCTCTGTCCTCCGTGACAGAGGTTATTCTCTGTTTTCTGCAAAGGTCAAAGTGAGGATAGGAGAAAATAAAAATCCCCTTGAGCTGTATTTTCTTGCTGAAATGTGAACCTTTGTAATGGTTTCAATTATTCTTGGTACAATGTTTATATTTTCTTTTCTTGTTTGAATTTTAGTTATATTTCGTTAGTCATGGTGGGCGTCAACGAGGTGAAGCCAGTTGGTTGAGGGAAGAATTTGATAGCAAAAGTAAATGTAAAATGGTTTTTATCCCAAATTTATCAGCTTGAGGGAAACATTAGAATGATGCTTTTACATTTTGATTGTTTTGTGATGTTGATGTTTTTTTTAATGATCATATAAGTCTGATCATCCTGTCTGTAGGTGGCGAAATGTTGTTTTGTACCTGCTTTACTGGGGCATGCAACTGATGATGATTTCATCCGTCCTCATCACTCAGATCTCATATATGATGCGTATGAAGTAAGGCCATATATATATATTTTTCGTTTTAGATTTAACATATTTGCGTTTTTTGGTTGGCGTTGTGCTGTTTTAATGTATGTAAATACAGACTGGTGTTTCCTTCTGTCCCTGGGTTTTAATGGGCTATAAATATTAAGCGTCCTTCCCTCTGTCCTTCCTTTTGTGTCAAGCACAAGATATGATCTTTGGGACATGAACTTGTATGCAAGTGTTGGGCATTGTCAGCAATTAAAAATAAGATATGAGCAAAACTGTTTCCTGCTCTGAAGGAAAAAAAATTCAGAGCTTATTTTTGTATCTTCAGCATATTGGCAGGATTGTCATTCTTATAATAGGCAGATATTTATGTTTTGTTCAGGACCAACCTTTGGATCAAGTTTCAAACTTTCGAGACGTATTGAAGATCTGTAGGCATGACTTATTTTAAGTTGTGAAGATGTCCTCTAAATGGAGTTCAAATAGAAGCATATCCCTTGTGTTGAAGTAGTGAGGCCAGGAAGATTTCTTAGTCTACTCTGCATCGCAAGAAATTGATGAAATAAACAACTAGGCCCGAAAGGGTTAGTTTCAAAAGTTTGCAACTTTCTTCCATAATGGTGACATCATCCTATTTATCAACATCATTGGCTTCACAGTGATGTGGTTGCCTATGCTGTTTGTGCTCGTTCTCAATTTTGTGATGCTAAACGTATATCAGTATACCAGTTGTTTGGTCAAAGTCTATCAGATCTTCCTGTTCCACATAGCCATTAAATATGGGAATGAAAATTAGATTTTGCTGATTCCATCTGTCCAGAATTAAATTTGTATGTGATTTAGAAATTAATCTAGGCTTATATCACAGAGAAAGATATTTTCCTCGATGATAGTAAATGAATATGTGAATGATTGATGGGCTTATATCACAGATGTATTGTTCTGTGGTATTCAACTGAGGGTCCATGTCATAACCTGTGTTTTCTGCTAATTTCTCCAATTCTTTTATGTGACAGTTTTATATCCATCATTAGATGCATCCCCCGTTAACTTTTTACTTTATCTGCTTTATAATTCTATGATTAGATTTGGTTAATCTCTTCCATGTGTTTATAAAGTTCGTCATACTGTCAGAATATGATTATTATATGCTTAAATCTCTCACTTGGATAATGAAATCTGTTCGTATAAATATCACGTCACCAGATAAATAGATTGGCTGTCGTACTTTGTAAGTTGTTTTTGAGCCTTAATTTCTTGTTGCTAGTTATTGAAGAACATGAAGAGACACGACTGATTGCTTTTTCTTATGTTTGATTGGATGTATATTTTGCAGGGAGACAAAAATATCATTAAGTTTGATGGAGATCATAACTCTCCACGACCACAGTTCTATTTTGATTCAATAACAATATTTTTCCATAATGTATTGAATCCTCCAGAGTATGGATTTGATGAGCATTCCCTTCAGACCGTCCACGACTATATTGATCAGGTAAAGTTGCCCTTGCAGCATACTCGATTGACATAGGCAACGGGCTGAATTCTTCTCTCAGATAGTTTTTTATTCCTGTAGGATAATTGGGAGACAGTAGTCGGGGTGGATTATCGTGATGAGAGCTCCACACAATTACCTTCTGGTGAAACTCGAAAACCTGTATTGTATAACTCTCCCGTGGTAAACCTTTTTCTTATATCCTTTCTTGAATTGATTCTTTGAGCTGCAGAACTTGGAACGAATGCTACAGTGGCCGCCATCAATCTTGTCAGGATTAGAAGACCCATGAGTCGTACTGAGGTTTGTGGCTATATTGCTTAAAATTATAGCTCGTTGGCATGCATATTTTCCGGTCAGTGTAATAGTTCATTATTTATCTACTTTTATTATATTTGCGAATTTCACTGAAAAGTCAGAAGTGGTATTGGTTATTAAAGGCATCTACTTTAGGTAAGTCTTGGGCTAGTCTTCTGTCAGGATTCATGTATCTTTATCTTTTGGAGTGCACGGACACCTCCCTTAGTTTTCGAACTTTAAAAGTGCTGGATGTAGAGAAGTAAAACGCTTTTTACTACCAGTGTTACCTTCAGGTGACTCCTTGTTCATGTAGTCGTCCATGTAGCCTCCTTTGTTACCTTCAGTTTGGATGTGACAATCCTCGCCATGAGTTTGGTGGATTGATAATCTATGTAGAAATACTGCATAAAGTAGTGTTTACGATATAACTTTGTATTTTATTCCAGAGAGTATTGCAACTAGCTGCTTTGAAAGTGGTTAATTTTCTTTTAGCAATGAAAATGAGCCACCTGGAAAATCTGCGCATGGTATTATACAGATTCATAAGTGGCGCGAAACAGAGCATTAATCCATTAATCATTGAAAATACTACGAAAAAATCTGGTCCTTCAAATATGTAGCCAGACAAGATAAAAAACTCTGGACTTTAGATCACAGGTTACCAGAACTCTTTACCATAGCATGAAAGATTTTCTCTCTTTTATCAGATGCTGTATATGAAGATCTACCGACTTGGTGGGCGCTTTCAGTCAGATCCAGATTACCAATGAGAGAAATATAATGACATGGAAATGGAATGTCACTGATATTTAGATTTCTTCTATGATGATTGTTCTACATTTTCGTAGAATGATATGATCCAGTGTAAGTATTGGCTCACCATTGTCAGCTTCCCTAGGAAAGTATCTATTTGAAGGCTTACTTATTTTGGATAAAATGAAGAAGTATCACTTGCTATGAGATCTGCTTATCTTCTGATATTACATGGAATCCGTTAAATGTATTTTTTTATTGAATTGATCTTAATCCCTCTAACTTCATTTGAGAATTTTGGGATAAGGTAACATCAGTAAGTCCTTTGACGGAAGGTTATTCCAGTAATAAAAATCTTTTCATGATGGAATATTTTTTCATGGTCCACTTAGAAAACAATGGGATATTAATTTAAGTCCCAGCATGAAAAGAAAATTCCCATACAGAATCGGTAGACCAGAATGCATTTTGGTTGTGGGAGTATCTTTAACTACATCATAGACATGGATTTTCCATTGAGCTGATATGTGAGTAAACATGCACACCACTGATCCCTTTGTTTGATCATCTTGAATTGTAGATTTTGATTTGTGAATGCATAGGAATGGTAGGTTTGTTAATATAATCACGACTTATGTTAGTCAATTTATGCGTTTGGATCTTATCTTTTCCAGGTTCCCCATGATGCTCATTTGCTAAAGCCATCTGAAGATAAGGTATGATTTCACAATCCTAACCATCCTGATGTTAATTTTTTTTGCTTACCATGTTCAATCTAAAAATTATCATGCTCCGTTCACGTTTGATGCTGTCTTTCTGTAATAATATATTTTTGGATTTTCGTAGTCCAATCACTGAGTGTCTTAATTGTTGCAGGACGACACCAATGGAAATGACGTTGGTCCATCATCATCTCAGTCAACAAGTTTTGATCTCTCCAATGGTCACTCCCATGGCTCACATATGCCCAGTATATCTGATGATGGATTTATGACATACTCATTCGATGCCTTATCAGATGTTCCAAGTACAATGGAAGAGGAAGAAAGGGTGAGATAACAATCTTTTCTTTCTTTCCCTTTCTCACTCTGTACACAGATTTAAGTTTTTCACCTTTCAAATCCGAAATTGGCATAAAGCTGGTAAAATCTTGTTCCATCTGCCATTTTTAGTTTCTTTTTCTTTTTTTCTTTTTTTTTGGCTTCATTGTTTCACTGATAGGAGACTTTCTTGGACGGGCTTGTGTTTGAAGTCATCATTTATCAGCAAGTCAGCTTCATATGATTCATATCAGATCAGAATAGTTGACCAAGTAATCCAGTCCAAATGTGATAAATCCCTTCAATCAGCACAGATATCGGCCAATCAATGCAGCCCCATTCTAAGACTGTTATTGCCGGGGGCCGCTGATTCTGTCGTTGATTGACCTTATTCCAATTTCCTTTTGATATCTACTGGGGATACTGGAGCTTCCCTTTCTTCTTTCAGCAACTACTGGTTATCTAATATTAGCATGTCAGCCATCCTGTTTAAGCCTTGAGAACTCCAAAGGATTCAATACGAAGCAAATGGGCATATGTCACACATCCTCTCTCTCTATATGTACATGTGTGTTGTGTGTGCATATGGGGCATAGTCGAGTAGCTCAGTTCCTTTCGTGACACTCTTGAGTTGACTTTTTTCGGTTGAACCTGCAGATGCTAATGGAAGCGGTGATGGAATCTTTGCGAGACCTGGAGATTCAACACACTGAAGGACAGCGGCTTCCCGCACAGAGTTCTTCAGATTCCGCTTCTAACACACAGCCCAACGAACTGCCGACGACAGGTGGGTGTTCCCTTGCACGTAGCCCTTCCAATATAGGGGATGATGGGCCCAAACAATGTTCAGAAGAGGGCGGTGCTGATGAACCTCCCAAGCCCGCCCCGTTGCTTCTGGCCCTGCCATCTGGCGATGAGCCGGGAAGCACCCATGGCTCTGCTGAGGGTCCCATGATGTTGAGGGCCCAACAGAAGGATGATGGTTTCAGTTCATCTGAGCACACTGACGATATATCAGCTAGGACCCAGGCGACCATAGTTGTTCAGAAGAATCCCTCCGGGAACCCTCTGGACGGGTTGATGCAGAGATGGGGGAGCTTCTTTAGGAACAATAAATAGATAGAAAACAGTGCCAGGGTTCCAATTCTGGGAAACAAATCAGAGAAAACATCATATACATGCGATGATGCCAGATGATGAGGGGATGTGATGCTGGTGAGGAGATTATGGGGTGTACAGTGTGATGTGTCTGATGATGTATAGGGGATGTTATATTTCAATTTTTTTTTTTTTTTTACTGAAATCTATTTTTTTAATCGTCTGCTATTTGATTCTATTTCACCGAAAATGAACCCAAGCCATGAAAGTTTGTCTTGCCTTACTCTCTGTTTGGGTGTGGCCATGTTGACAGTTTTCCTGTATTTTAACTGTCTGTTATTGGATTCTGTTTTTTTGCCCAATATGAATCCCACCCGTCCAATCTGTTTGATTCCTGACCATATATAGCTGTCTCCAATGTGGTATATTAAAGTTGTCTCTTGGGGCTTGTACTTGAAGAAAAATAGTCAGAGGTTTTGGATCTGGATCTGTCGTGGCAAGGCAATGAGTACGTCCAAGTACTTATAGATCTTGGAATAAATTATTTTATTATAAAATATATAACTTGCTGTCAATTCTTAATATTTAAATAGTAGAAAAAAACAAGCATTATAGGGTTTCATAAATTGGTTCCTTGGGCAAGAATAAATTGTGTTGTAGATGATTTTCTGCACAACATTGATAACTCTGAATCTCAAAAGTAGGAGTTTGTCATACAACCCAAGAAACATTCATTTGCTTTGGACATTAGAAGTACCAAGAGTTTTACATCCTCTTATCTTCATGCCTTAAGCCTACTCTCCTCATAATCTAAGAATAAATAAGAACAAACATGAACAAAATAGAAAAGGGCTTAGAACCCTAAGTTGATTTAAGAATTTAAGGATTACATAGGGTTGGTACTTATATCAACCCATTAGTGAGAGATAGAGAGGGAGAACTAGTTTAGTTCAACCTAGATTAGTTCAATAATAATAATATTATGACAAAAAATATATACAAAAGGAGTAATGTAATGTCAACAAGAAAACAACAAGAAATTGTAAAAATGAACTTTATTTCTAACACTCCCTCTCAAGTTGGAGAATATATATCATTAATTTCTAGTTTAGAAGTTTTGCTCTAATTCTTTGGTGAATATATCTACAACTTAGTCATATGCACATATAATGTGCAGATCAACCCACTCTCGAATTTTCTTTTTTATAAAATATTTGTTAATCTCAATGTGCTTGATTTTATCATGCTAAACTAAATTATATGTGATACTTATCAGTGACTTGTTGTCATAATATAGTTTCATTGGTTCATCTCTTTTTATTTTCAAATCTTTTAATATGATGTTCACCCGTAATACTTTATATATGTATATCAAGTTCCGTAGCATAAAATTCAACCTCTACACTTTGATTGTGCAACTACTTGCTTCTCAGTTCTCCATGTAATGAGATTCTAATGTGGGAGAAAGAGGCCATAAGAGATGATTTTAAAGAGTCAACTTAAATTAGAACTTGGAGGGCTTAATATCTAGATGATCTTATAATTTTAGGAGAATTAAGATCATTAATTACCTATTATGATATCTCATTTAAAGAATGAGATAAGGCTTCTAAATTAAGGTTTGAACTATTAATCTCTCATATGAATGCGGCTATTCTATGTATCTCATAAATTCCAAGTGCAATGATTTTTTTAAAAAAATGACCAACTTCATAATTAAAAATACCACAACTTTGCAATGAAGATTCTTAATTTTGAAAGATTCTTGTTTTGTTGGAATTCCTCAATCCTTGTTAGAGATTTTCTCACTTGATAGAAAGAATTATTGAATGTCAATGGTGAGAAGGGGAGTAAATGGAGGAGAGATGAGATGAAAATGGCTTGAGTTAGGGATAGACCAGTGCAGTTCGAAAGAATGGGCTGTATGGGCTGTATGGGCTGTATGGGCTGTATGGGCTGTATAGGCTGTTTGGGCTGGGCAGCTAGGGTCCACGTAAATAAAGAATAGATCATTAGAATGCGTGGAGTGAATTGGGGTGACGGCGGGCGAGCCGATGGGGGAATAAATAAATAATAAAAAGGGAAAATAGTCGGAGATAAAAACTGGGCGAATTGAGGGTGTAGACAACAGAGAGAGAAGAGGGAGTTTTGCGGCGACAGCGGGAGAGAGAAAAGAGAGGGTTTTGTGATAAGGCGGACGGTGAGGAGGTGGAACGGCGGTGACGGCGTGGACGTTGAGGAGGCAGAACGGCGGTGATGGTGCAGATGGTGAGGAGGCGGAATGGCTGCAATAATGGGAGAGAAAAGAAAGGTGGACTTGGTGACATGGCAGATGGCTAGGAGGTGGAACAACTGCGACAGTAAGAGAAAAAGAAAGGTGGACTTGTGACAGAGTGGACGGCAAGTAGGCAGAATGATAACAACGGTGGGAGAGAGGAAAAGGAAGGGCTGGCGATGGGATAGAAGGACGACGAAGTGGGAGAAAGAGAAAGCGAGAGAGGTCACCCTAATCTAAGAGGGCAAGAAGAAGAAGAAGAAGAAGATACCCCTAATCCAAGAGACGGGTTAAAAAGATTGAAAAATTTCCAATTCAAGAGGTGAGTGAGATAACAAGAGAGTTCTTGATTCCAATTTTCAACTTTAATTTTTTTTTTTTCAATATTATTTTTCTTAATATTCCTTTTTTCAATATTCTTGAGTTTACATTTTTATAGGAAATAAGGGAAGGTGGTTAGAGGCGCCCCCTCCCAAAGGATGCCAAGTGATGTCTCTTGGAGGGAGAGGCCCCTTAGGGGAGAAGGGGCATGTGGGTGACGTGGCCTCTTCTTTGCCCTCTTCTTCCCTAAGAGGATGAATCCTCTTGTTGACTTCATTAGATTCCCTTTGAAAAAAGGTACAATATCTAGAGGTTGATCTTGATCCATAATTGACAAAACACATGTAAACTTCATGTTAAAAAATCATTCATTTTGAATAGAATTCACTTTCTAGATGTTCCTTTGAGATACTATAATATACAATGAGTTGTTTGCAAGTGAATATTCATTGGACTATGCATAAATTGACTAATCATATTGACTACAAATCCTATATCTAGGTGTGAATGTGAAAGGTAAATTAATTTATTAACTAGTCATTGATACATCTTATTAATTAGAACATCTTCCTCGATTACATCAATTTTCAAGTTCAGATCAATATGATATATAATTGGTTTCCATGTGGTTTTACTAGTTTCTTGTAAGATATATTTCTGTTGAGAGATAAAAATGTTATTCTTGGAGTGTGTCACTTCAATTTTTAGAAAATATTTCAGTCTTCTCAATGTCTTTTTTCAAACTCCTTGAACAAGCTCTAACTAAGGGATTTTTTTTTCAAAATCATCATTTCTAGTTATTAATGATATAAAATCGATGTGGATCATGAGTGTTGTATAATATTCAAATAAGATAAGTAGAACCCTAGAAGAGGGGATCTCTTGGGATAGTAATGGTGTAATATTAAGATTTGAGGCTATGGATACTACATAATAATCTTTTTGATCACTACCGCAAAACTGAAACTCTGCCTTTTCTATTCTAAACTTAAATTTTACTTAATTTAGTGATATTTTTATGTGCCTCGTGAAGTTACGGCGGCCCTGAAGCTCGTTTCGCCGTGGTCCCAAACGTCCTCAGGACGTTTCCCTCGACCCTGTATCTGTTGTAGAATCTGATCCCCGCCTCCGCCTCCGCCTCCGCCGCCGCCGCCGGCACCATGAGCCCGAGCTCGTTTCCCAGCGAGCCCGAGCTTGTTCGTGGTGGCCGTCGCCTTTTCCGCCCGTGAGAATCGGTCCACGATCGGACCCGTATTCTCCCTTTCACAGACGACCTTCTCTTCTTCAGCATTAAATGTGGCCGCCGTTTCACATGGCCACATTTCACAGGTCATGATTCCGTTTAACCCCTGCACCACTAAGCATTCAGTGTGAAGCATATAATATAGGATCATGGTTCCAGGTATTGAAGTCCTCGTGAGCTTGGCACAGATGACAAGATTTGAATAATTTGTTTCATCCCCCCTGGGGACGATGACAACTGCCTAGTGCATGCATGACAACCGGGCATATCACGGTTTAGTGTGGGTACAGCCTTGAAGTTCTTTGAAGCACCTTGTAGCTTGAGAACTCTAGTAGTAAATGTTGTTCTTAGCGTCAGGGAGATGGAATTTGGAAGATGACAAGCTAGCCATGTTATTAATAATGGATGAATCATGGCGGATTACTTTAAGAGCCAAGATTCCCATTTGCATGTATATATAACGTAGGAAACTCCGACCTTAAGATCATCCATAAAAATTGCTTTTTAGGAAACTCCGACCTTAAGATTCTAGTCGTTTTTCCCTTCCTCGATTACCCACTTCTCTTCCTTCTCTTCCTCTAGGCCTTCTAGTTGCTTTTCCCTTCCTAGCATTGTTCGTTAGAGGGAAGAAACTTACGATGATGGCTCTTTCTGCGCTCCCTCTTTGGAGGACGTTGGCAATCCTCTTCATGATATTCATGATATCGAGTGTCGCCTCTTCAACAGACGAGCCCGTACGACTTGAACTCTCCGAAAGCTTCTCTTTCGACCATACCTCCCCACTCGACACCAGCCTTGCTACCACTACTGTCAAGAAAGGTTCACGCTGTAATCGTATCACCAACAACATCTGCCCGGGGATCTTCGCGAAGAAGGGAACACAATTCCTCCAATGCTGCAAGAAAAACTGCCGCAATGTATTCACGGATCGAAACCATTGCGGGGTTTGTGGCAACAAGTGCCCATTTGGAAGTCTCTGCTGCAGAGGAAAGTGCACCCCCGCCGCTTTCGATGCCAACAACTGTGGTAAGTGTGGCAAGAAGTGTCAGCCTGGTTTAGAATGCTTATTCGGGATCTGTGGCTATGCATGACTTATGTTCAATGTAGTCAGTTGAGGACGTTGACGGTCATATTGTAGTGTGGAGTTTCTTTCCTATTTTGGTCTTAGGTCAGGATAGAAGTTCTCTATTCATAAAGAGAGAAAATATCTCTTTTCTCTCTAGTTTCATGGAATTCTCTACCCACCCTGAATATTCTCTCGATCTGTATCTAGTTGCACTGCTCGTGCTAGATGGGTCACCTTTCCTTTCTGTGTGCTTTGTCATAGTGTCATTTTGTTGGAAAATAAAATTATTTGGTTTTGTTATTTCAAAGAGTCTTTGTGTAAGAGGAAGCTGATCATTCTCTCATATAGCTATAGTTGGATATGTATCAACTACATCATAGAAGATAGAAAAGGAGATTGACGTTGGTTCTTATTGATTAAAAAAAACATAATTAATATCTTCTTGGAAAAAAGACATAAGTTGAACCTATTTATATTGAGTTATGTATTAGCACTTTATAATTCTGATGACTTTTTACATATTATAATCTAAACTTGTATTATGAATATTTTTTATTAATAATGAGGTGTAAATTTAATTATGATGTATTATATGGGATTAAAGAGTCTAGAGTATTTGAGTAAAGAACTAAAGTTTAGACCATATGAAATATCATTTGTTATTTCAAATTCTCCTTAGGAAGAGAGTTGGTAGAGTGTGTAGATATAAAGGATAAAAAATCTGTGTGAGGTAAATATGTTATCATCCCATGTGTAACCCTTAGTATTTAAATTTTTTATACCAAATGGCCTTACTTATATCGACATATGAGTAATTTGTATAAAGGTATTTGAAAGCTGATCAAAAGAGAAACTCACTCACAGCTGAAAATCTGACATCAAAATTTGAAGAATTAAAAGTCGTTTTTCCAATCTTTACAATCATTTTTCTATATTTACTAAAGTCCTCACACAACATGTTAAGGTTTGCTTTTACTTGGCCATTTGACCTAATAAGGGTTAAAAGAGGATAGCCAGACATGCCCAATAATGGGGTGATGTGACTAAGTCATTTTTTAGTAAATTACACAAATTTAAAATTGATAAAATTAGAAAATATTAATTTTCTAAATTTTAAAAGTATTTCTGCAAACATATATCAATTATAATTTGATAAAAGCTCCAAAACTAGTTAGAATCTTCTATATTAATCAAAAAGATGTAAGATAATGTAAGTTAAAATTTCAAATTTTGCATCAAAGAATACGATTTTTAATGATTTTAAATGAAATAATCATAAGAAAATCTTTTTAAAATTAGAGAAAAGAGACATTCAGGTGCCTAAAGAACAATAATTTAGGTGGAAATAGAGTTATGCCTGAAAATTATTACGTAAGTGATTATAAATGATTAGATCAATGAAATCAAGATATGTAAATGCCAAATGAATCGTAATAGATTAAATAAGAGTTTTGAAACTTAAATTTTAAACAAATTATCATTAACCTAAATATTAAATGAGTTTAAACAAGAAAAAATAGAATTTTTGCATCACAATGGTGATTGCTAGAATTCGAGAATAGGTAGATTCAAAAAAATATATGCTTACGACACATCTGAATAGGTAGAGTCATTCCTCACTCAAAAGACTTTGAAGTCTTTAGATATGATCTTGATACACTTGGCCTTCATACCTAATAGAAATTTGAAAAATAGCATTTTTCACATATATATTGGTCAACAATGTTAGACATATGCTTGCAATTAGATTAAGAAAGGGGGAGTAGGGTTTAATTGGTCGGATCCAATTGATCTAATCTTTTAGTCTTCTAAATAATTTCTCTATTCCCAATTTCTCAACACCAATAAAAATGCACCTAAAAATGACTTCACCTAAAAATGTCTCTACATTCATGACTCTAAAATATCCAACTATTGATATCTGATTTCTTGAGTGATAAGTCACACTTATAAAAAATTTAACCACAAGATAATATAAACAATTTCACCATGTGTGGTGATTCTAGAAAGAATGTGTGCTGATGAGCTAAATTTAATGAAAACTTCTTGCTTATTTTCAGTTGAGTGAACATTTTTCTTAATCAAATCACGATCTCAACTTCTTGTCTTTGCAGTTCTGATTTGAACTTTGATTTTGTCAAAACACCTCCCTTTTAATGATGTAAAATGTTAGTAAGAAGATACATGTGAATAGACAGCCCAACAATTTCAAATGGATGAGAAATTATCAATTTATAGATGTAATTTTTATCCATCTTTCATATTCTCAAAGTTCCATTCCAATGCAGTATGTCATTTAAATCTTTCGGAAATATCCCTTATGTTTAGATATTTCTAATGATAATGGTTATGGTAAGCCCAAAACTAGGCCTAATATATAAAAATAATCCAAGAATATTCAGTAAAAGAAATTAATGATTTCAAATATGAATGATACCCAAATCATCGAAAACCAAATGTTGGAATAAAATATCACATTTGGGGTTTCATATCAGTACACTTCCAATCACTTATTTGTGATTTTTTGAGTCATAATCATTACTTTGAATCCACATGTCAAGGATAATGTACTTCAGAAACAAATAATGATTTCAATGTAATTTATATTTTTTTATTAATCTCAAGTCATGAGTATCAGGTATAATTCTCTGTATTTGAATGTGGACACTTTAACTATGATAAATATATTTTCAAATATTTCATATTCACTACTTTACATATGAGTGTATGAATAAATTCTCATGTTTTGTTTAATCAAATGTAATTTTAATTTCATCACTTGATTATATAAATGTGAATTTTTAATCATCAAAACACTTCAAGGGGATTAAGGCTCTTGAAACCAATAAATAAGGTTTCCTTTATTGTTTGTGGTTCAAAAGATTTGACCACTTAACTCAAAAATAATCAACAATTAGTCAAGTAAACCAAATAGTTTTTCTTTAATGGTAGATTCGAATAATAAATGAATAAACCCATAAGGTTTTTATTTTTAATCACCTACACAAAAGTTTTAACGTTGATCCTCAAGTATAGATGTCAAGAGGTAAAATATTTCTTCCACATCAGCTTGAATGTCAATTCATTTTGAAAATTTGGGTGAAAATTTGTATGTGCAAAAAATTTGGGTTCTATATATGCACTTTGATCATCTAGTCAATAGTCAAACTTTTGCTATGATTGTTAAGTTGGGGGAGGCATAGTTGTCTTTGGGCTTGACATCTTTAAAGTCTAATTTTGTCTTTGGACACATTTAAGAGGATAATATACATTGAAGAGAATGAGTATTTTCCTTTTGAAGGAGTAAGTCTTAGTGTGATCTTGTTGTTGACTTCACTAATTGAGGCATCATTATTCTCTCGTGATTTTTCCATGTGTAGAGGTTTTCCACACAAACTTGGTACATATTATTGTGTCCTCTTTCTTCTCTTTTTGCTCTCTATTATATGTGGTAATTGTCATGGTGTGTAGTCTATGAGACCCTTTATCTTTTGTTAGAAACAAATTACGAAATATGCTGATATATTGACTAAACAAGTTATGGTTTAATGTATAAAGTAAAGATCTTAATACATGCAATGCATTTCTTATAGCTAAAAATAATTTTAGATGCATATGTACAAATTATATCACAGTGATAAAGGATTGATATAGAATTCACATGCTAAAATAGACTTATTCAATTAAAATCCTCGTAAAGTATAGATAGAGGAAGCTACATAAGACACATGCTAAAACTTTGAAGAGTCATCCATTAACTTCTGAAACACAACTTGAAATCATAAATTAGATTTATCTTTTTTTTAATTATATTTTTGTCCCTCTTGCTCTTCCATTGGGCATCAAGTTCAATTCAATATAAGTAAAGCTTGATTAATTGGCTTTGAACCACTTCACTAAGATCTCTAGAAATAGATATTCTAGATTTCTCATTTAACATAATATTTTTATTTTTACCTTTCTCATTTCTCTCTCCTCTCTTAAGAGTCAAGAGCTCTCTACTACTATCGTGTCTCCTCTAGCAACCAACAAAAATAACAATTTCGACATAGTAGTAGAGAACTCCAAGTAAAATAATTTTAACTTTCTCAAATATTTGGATCACTAATAATAATTTTTCATTACCATGAGTTAATAATTTATTGATAATATATTTTAAATCTTAACTCATTATAAATAGACTTATATTTATGTTAAATTGATAAAAGTAATTTTTAGTTGACTAATGTAAAATTTTAAGTAATTATGTGAATTTATGTGAATTTATATAATTTTTATAATCATATTTTTGAGATAAATGAAGAGAAATAAACTAAAAGAAATTACAAATGAATAGGGAGCATAATTGAGGGACTCATTGGCTGGCCAAAATCACAAATGGGTGTAGAAGCACAATTAGACAAAGCTATGAGTAAAAGGCTTAAATAGTTAACAACAGACAAAGTTCGAAGGTGGCAAATGTGCATCACTCCTCTTCCACATCACTAGTAGCTAGCTAAACTTTATACAAAGAGTGATCATACATATGTGAGAGAACAATATTGATGAAGCTAAGAGATATCATTATATGTCTTAAAACACAAAAAATAATCAACATGAGACTAAACCTCATGTCATGTTTGTTGACAAGTTTTCAATAATTTTAATACCTAAAATATCTTCTTCTTATTTTAATAACACAATATATTATTAACAATTGGCTTCATCACACATTTTTTGAGTGGCAATGCATGCTAACTTTTTCATTATTATTTGTGAGTCGATGTGAGAATGTAAAAATTGAGCGTGTATTGTATGTGTATTCTGGTCTATTTCTAAACCACCACAACAGATTTCTAGACCACAATAACTAGAAGAGTCAAACTACTTTCACTTAATTAGATTATGTATTATGAATTCATAATATAAATTACATGTACTAAATAAATGTGTTCACATCAACTTCACTTCATCTCTAAACACAATAGAAATGGGCCACCACCAATTTTACAGCCACTGAACTAGGACGCCTGATCCCAAAGATTATAGTGAACTGAAGTAGATTCATTATTCAATATCACTCATAGTCAACTACTTTAGCTTTCCTAGGATCCTGTAGTTATCTCCCTCAATATTTTCCAGCTATGTTGGAGTCCCCCACCAAATATCAAACATTAGGCCATGTTTACCCTTCATTTATGGTAAGGAAATGTACTCTAGTTGCATCATCATCATGAGGGTCACATACAAAAGTTAAAAGCCAAATCAATATATTTGAGTGACTTGAAAGATACCATCAATTTAAACCTTCCCATTAATTTTTTTTCCAATTTCTAAAACATTGTATTATTCCATATTCTCAACTATCCACCTTTACTTTCCTCACTACAAGGTTTTCTCTTGAATACTTACGATGAGAACCTTATGGGACAAACTTTCTCCTTTTGATCTTCCACACTGAACTTGCATTTAGATTCTGCAGTCCTGTGGACCTCTGCAACCACACTGTTTTCAGCATTAGCCTTCTCTATTTGATTGTCAACTATCATTGTTCATCCATTACCCTTTTTTTCTTTTAAAGTAGTGCTGTCGGATCTTGGGTTAGAACATTTTCGATTAATAGGAATGGTCCAAAATAATCATTGTCAAAAAAAGTTTATTAACCGAAAAATAAAACTCTTCAACAAATTAGTTCCATGCGAGAATCAAAAGAGTGTCTCTAGGTGAAATGATCCCTCAGTATGGTGTAAAACGAATTCCGACCAGAATGACAAGGATATTGTTAAAATGTTCGAGAACTCCACAGACAGATCTTTGTTCCTAACAGTTTATGTATACCAACAATGTTTATAGATATCATTGGATCACTTTTCCAAGAGATGAAGTGGATATAGAGAAAGTCATCGTTAATTATGCATCAACATCATATTTTAATTTAAATCTCAAGTAATATAAGATTTAGCTTACTCACTGCAACCCATTACCTAATCACAAAGGGAGAGCAAGTCACCACAACAATGATATGAATACAAGCCACGTTACAGAAAGTCAGTAGGCTGTAAAATTGGTGGTCAAACAAAAAAGGCAACAGCCAGAAGAACTTTATCGAAACAAAAGAGTATCCCTTGCAAGATACAACTACTCTGTTTCATATTTTCCCTCTGAGAATTCAGGTAAGCCTGCTATTCTCCAATTAACGTATAAAACCTGGCGGAGGTTAAACCACCAAACTATAATCTTTCTAAAGTGATGCCTCATCAATTTAACTAAGGTTTATGCCAACTCATCATCGCATCTGAAATAAATAGTAATACGTAGAGCACTGGCACATTCTACCTCCATCAATCTTCCAAGCTTTTAAGAAGCAGGTGCTTTCTTCTCTGGGATTGTCAACTGTCGCAGGTTGTACTTTGACAGCTCTTTATACTTCTCAACCACACTTATCAAGCATATAGTCTGTAAGAAATTGTAAAGGAGAAAAAAAATGACAACATTCTTTGATGAAAATAGGATACAATACTGCTTACATTGTTTTGAAAGAAATAGGAAAATAATCTGCTTACATTGCACAAAATGAATGAAGAGAAACGTAATGACAATCCGTTTTGAATATTAACATGATTTAAAAATCCAACATCAGGAATATAACAGCAAGAAGGCATCAACATAGAGTGTAGAAACAAACTTCAATGACCATTTTTTTGACAGCCAAGTCAACGGTACACTGCCTTACAAATACTAACTTCTACATAATGACTGAAGTGATCCACCAATCTTTTAAGTGAAATTAAATATCAGTACTCAAACTAAAAGATGAGTATATGACAAAAGTCGGGACACGTTTCTTGAGTTCTAGAGCTTGGAGGGCATAGAAGATGATGACCTAAAGAAGGATCAAAATTATCAACTGCAGGGAAAATGTGGCCTGATACTTTCCTCTTCCTCATTTTAGAGCAGACAAATAACTTGGTCATCAATAGAAGTACAACCAAAGGATACTAGTCGAGTTAACACTGATACACTGTTCTAGCCGCTTTTAGCAAACAGCAGCTTCTCTGATACTTTTTCCTTACTGTATCCTATGTCCCAGTTGATTAAAATTCTGTTGCTTGCAACATTAACCCATTCCAGGAAGAAGCTACTAGCCTAGAACATGCTAATGATGCTGACTACTAATAGCCAGGATTTGGTGGAGGAGGGTGATGTGCCAGTATACCCTTAAGATTGAAATGTCAAAACAAATACAAACAATACAAACACTTGAAGATAAATATACACTACAAGCCTTCGATTTCTAAGTGAAATGCGCTCTACTGGTGTTGAGGAGAAAATGGGTAAAAAATCTAATAGCATGGTGATGCCAAAGTACAGCTGAGGGCCCGCCTAAATAAATATAGTTTTAAGAAGTAAAATTGGTTGACCCTGGAATATAAAAAAGTGCAATCCGCAACCATATGTATGATTATCAGCAGAGGCTAACTGAAAACGCTGAATGAACAATAAAGGTGATTAGGGTCTGTGTATTAGAAACCTCAATGTTGAGATTGTGGAACAAGGGGTTATTTTTGGAGTCACTAAAAAAAAAGGAGAAAATATAATTCATGATAGAATTGAACAAACGGCCAAATGATTTGCCACGAAAATTCATTTTAGAAAGAAGTCTCAACTTAGTTATAAAGATGAGCAGGAAAGCTGTTACTATGCTTTTTTTAGATGAGATATCAGTTGATGTTCATACAATAAATATTTCAGTATAAAATCATTCATTCGGTGGAAATCAGCAATATAGACTCTTCCCCAAAAAATAGAATTCGAAATGGAATATTTGACAGAGGAATACGGAAAATATACCTTGACAATCTCAACAATTATAGTCTTGTCAGGGTTACTCAGATCTACTTTATGGGGTTCAGGGACCGACTTTGCAACCGCATTTATAATTGCCATTCGATCTATACCAGAATTTGCACGAGCTTCATACAAGACTGCATACTGCAGGGACATAATTGAATGACTAGAGCGTATGTTTCCACCATAGGATTGTTTCTGACGTATTAAATAGACGAAGAATAAAATAATAAAAATGTTCAAGAAAAACAGAAAGGAAAAGCATGGACAATCATAAGATAACGCGGTCAGGGTTTTAAGCCAAGATAAGGAATAAAATTGCATTGATTTTGTTTAGATATATCAATCTATTGAAAAAAGCATCTCAAGATAGCATGGTATCTGTAGAAATAAACTCAAAACTTTGAAACTTTCTTTGAACTACAACCAAAAAATGACGATTGCCTCATGTAAATTCTACAACTACCCTATGAACAGTCGTGCATCCACCATTTTTTAAAATCAGATTGTGACGTTGTTGTTTGTTTCATCTTATTATTAACCATGTTTCCAGAAAAAAAAACCTGTGTTAAGGTGACATCTTTAGTCTGGTTTCAACATCTTCACATCAATAATCTAACGCCATATTTACAACATTTAAATACACTGCTCAGAGATATGCAACGTAAATGACACAAAACAAGTGTATAAGTGATGTAAACAACTAAAAGATTTCTGCTTTCCAGTGACCAGGTATCTTTATTGATCATAGTCAATACCACACGTCTCCATCATCCATATACATCTTCAGCCGCCCAATATCGTCACTCCAAAATACATGCTATAGTTATCTACAGGACACAACAATCACATGTTTGCAAGCTCCAACTACAAGCAGAATGAAGCAAAGAAACCACATGGTTTCAAAAGACAAACAGGAAATTAATTAGAGAAGCATCTTCTTGAAAAAGCACCAATATAATAAACTAAGGTGGTCTACTCCCTAGGTGAAAACGAGGGGTTTTTAGGTGGAAACTGATTTTTAATACAGTAAAAAGTGAATTTAAAATTATATAATAATAAAATAATTTGGCGTCCAAAATATTAAAAATATATAAATAGATAAAAAATAAGGAATATACTTATTAAATGTATAATTCGAGACAAAAATTGGAAAGAGAACAGGCTGACCAGATTAATTACATGACTGCCCACTGCCAACTGTATTTGGCTGATGCCAATTCTGTATGGCTGAACACAGCTCCCGTCTGTACGACCTGACAAGATGTGTTCAATTGCTTGGGAATCTTGTCTACCTTGGTAGAAATAGCAAGGGTCACTCTTTAATTCTATTTGATAAAAATCTGCACCCTGCTTCAATCGTTCTACCCTGCTCTGCTAGATAAAAGCTACCAGTCTGATCTGAGAAAATATATCAAGCGTATCCTCAGACCCTCAGTCACTATTTAGAACTCCTTGCTCCAAGATGTGCGTGAGATATGGTAATTAACTTTCATCAAGATCAGGATTTTGTAGAGAATTATACAGGCTCAATACCTTGATAACTTGGATAAATCAATCTCTAAGAAGAAACAATGGGTGATGGAATTGCCTATGCTTGTATAATGCTTAGTATAGTCTAAAGTAGTATTTTAGATGTCTCAATGTGCTTCATAGTGGGCTGAATTACCCTCGTCGAGTTGTCATATATGGCAGTACTTTGGTAACTTGGTTAGCATCTCAGGGAACCAAAAGAACCTTTTGGGTAGCTAGAAAGGAGCCAAAATTGGGACTTATAAGTGACCACATAAGCCTGTAGCCCAACACCGACAACATTGTTCTCACGATGCAAACAGGCTGCTGACTCTCCCTACACTATCACTCCTATTCACGCTATCACGTGAAAATCAAATGACAGGTCGAAAGTTAAACTCTCGAGTCAAATTTTACTTGACAATTTAATAATTTGATAGCCTGACTATCAAATAATATAGCCATCAAAGGATTTGACCAAAAAAACTAACGATTTATTATTTTTAAAATTAATATAACTATCAAATAACTTTATTCATCTATAAGCTAGGAGTAGAAAATCAAACGCAGCAATTTCTGCAAACCATATTCTGATCTTTCTGTCCAGATGGTAAACTGGAAGTCAAGGATAAACCTTTTGTCATGTATAATCCTTAGGGATTGAACAAGACTCCCAACTCACACATAGCCATTTCAGCAAAGGACAATTTATGTGCCAAAAATGGTGGCGACACAAGGTTGAAGGTAATTGGACAAATGGCTTTCCAAGTAGGCAAAAGAGAACAGTTGCACCTGGACAGGGATTCATTTATTATAAGAAACAAAAGAACAGCAAACACTCTAAAATAGCCTGGTTGCCATCAGCAACGGAGGTACATGATAGCATATCGATATAAAATAAAATTTCCCTTGAAGTGAAAAAGACAATTGTTATATCATGAGCATACCTTTTGTGGATTTTTAGTCTCTTCAGGAAAGTACTGAGTAATAAGGGGTTTGATTTCTTTGGTAATTTCATCAATAGAAGCATAACACGACACTTCAGCAGGTAGAACTCGCAGTATAAATCTGAAAACAAAAACACAACAACAGCGTTCCTTTGAGCAGTGACATCTATCACGAACATTTCTAGAAAATCCATATCAATGCTAACGGATACCAAACCTTGACACATGCTTCCTTGAAGACGCAAGTGAACACATCATGTGCTGTACTATGCTAGATGGAGTGGGATCACCATCTCTCTTATTCATTTGAATGAAAATGCAACCATTACAACCCGAATCAAGGCTCACAAAATGTCTCTGTCAATAGGTTTCAGCAAAATATGTGAAGAAATAACAGGCCGAAAAAAATCAAGTGTAAATCCTACAAGTAATAAAGTGCAGAAAATAACATAATGCAATCTCAATTGATATTCTATGAAGCGAAGACACATAGATATTGACAAAGTTACCCTTCTCCCACCTGATAAACTGAATATGAGAATAAACCCAAAAATAACATAGTCTATCAGGCCCTGAACTATTCCTTGATGGAAATTGGATGGCTTTCTTTATAACTAAAAAAAATATCAAAAGTTTATATACATAAATTTATTCTTTTTTTGCAAACCTTGTTATTTCTGCAGATAAATTGTGCTAAGTAGCTAGGCATCAGGACCGAGCAACAGCTATTCTGTTCCACAAAGTAACTTGCTTGAAAATGAACATAAGATTCTCCTTGTAAATGCACAGTTAATGCAATCGTTTGGAGGGTATCTAAAAAGAGTTTTACGCTTATTCTGCATTTAAGCGTGCCAGTGTCGAAACAAATTGAATAGTTAATTTGAGAACTGTTTCATGAGTGAGTCGTGACAATAATTATCCCGAATCTAAATTGATTCACTAATTCACCTCTCCAAAAGAACTCTGCATAGCAAGAAGCATGAAGTAAAACCAGTATTCTAGTAAAAGACTGGAGTACATGGAAAATGCCAGCATATGTTCCACCCATTATTCAAACAAACCTTATTCCGATCTCCCAAATCTTTTAATTCATCTTCAATGAGTGCATCAATAGTTTTCTCTTTGGTATTGCTAACTGACTCTTCAATTTCAGATGTATCTTTCTCTATGCGTTGTTTCTTAGTAGGTACATCTTCAGCTTCACATGGCTGCCCGTCGTTCGCATTCTCAACATCAGACTCTTCCTCACTACCAGAAGAATCAGAATCATTGAACTTGGTTATCTTATTCACTGGTTTAGAAGAGATGATCTCACTCTTATTTTCAGAATCCTTGCACTTTACTAGCTCTTCATAAAACTGCAATGAAAGAAAGACATTCATATGTAAAGACAACAAAGGGAGTCATTTCAGAAAATAAAAAAAATGACAGAAATTCCTGAATAACCAAAGAAATCCTAACGCTAAACACAACAATTCAGGCCTCGAATGTTCCAGAGTGCGAATAAATCATTTACTTCGGTACATAACTATTAAATAAATTATAGATACAAAAAGAACCTAAATCCATTGTTCGTCACAGAAATTACATCAGACAAACATCTTGCAAAACAAATAACCAAAGGAAACCACGTTAATTTTCTTCTACAATGGATTGAAAGTGCAGTAAAAAATGAAGTTTTTGAATATCAGATACTAATTCCCATACAGTAGAAGGGGAAAAAAGTTTGTAGACTATTAGAGATATCAAACTATGCAACTAAAGTGACCATTTGGAGATTGGCAAGCATCAAGCCAAAGAGGCAGAATCAAGGGAGTAGATCAATGCCACGGATGAGACACTTTATTTGACAGAAATTTTTCTGCACCAGACCATTTGACAGAAATTATAGTTTACTTTTTCTCTGGAATGAGAAAACACCACAAGGGGACACGTGGGAGCCAACCTCAAAGCAGTGTCTTGAGAATTTTCACAAAGTTCATGATCATTAATCATCATCATAGTCCAAGATGCAACTAGTAGGATTATGACACATGGATTCAATCCAAGCATCAAGTCTATCATGTCACATCTTCATTCTTCATGGAAGTCCAACACTTTAGGTATGCCAAAAGTTGATACTGAAAGCAGGTAGTATAACCTGGAAGTATTCAGTTTTCCACTGACCATCAGCATATCGCCTCTTGCTCCCCAATTTCATATCATTGATGATACAACGTTCAAAATTTTAGAGCTGATAAAGACAAAAGGTATGATTTACTGTTGATCCTATTCACAGATGAAGAGTAACATGGAAATCATTTACTTTTTCACCATCCTAGCTAGCCTTGGGCTTCACAGATTAGACCAGGAAAGGGATTTGTTGGAGTCCGGCCCTGAAGTCCAGACGTGCCATCCCATTCATCTCTCACTCTCTCTTTCTCTCCTTTCTTCCTGTCCCCTTCTTTCGTACCCTCCCATCCCCCCCCTTCAAAATCATGGCAGAATCTTCCTTTCCAGGTCACATTAAAGGTTACTTCCACTATGTTGACAGGAACGAATAAAGTGTTCATCATATTAATAATCCATCGAAATCCAGATAATTGAAAGCCTGGGTAAAACAGCCTTGACAGCTTAGGGAAAAGTTCAAAGATCTGAAAACTTCCCAAAGGAGATATAAAAGTTTTGTATTGCTAAAATAATGTCACCATAACTTGGGGCCCATCGACCACATATGCCCCTTGAAAATCTGATCAAATGAGAGAAATAAAATCATATAAGGTCGGTAAGGGGCGATGTGCCCAAATATTTCGAAAGAAAAATTTAAAAAAAATATGTAAAGACAACTTTTAGACTATAAAAAATTATAGACAGATATAAACGCCCGTATCACCTATTACTTCTTAAGCTATAACTTCCAAGGGATCAAGAAAGTGAAGCTCACAGTCCTATCATAGGTGATACGGGCATTTTAACTTTCCAGTCAAGCTCACAGTCTTTAACAGACTTATTTGAGGTAATTGCGACTCAAATTTCCAAAATATGAGCAAGATAACAATTTATATTTTGAGAACGCAACAAGCATTTTTTCTTTGTTATGCTTACATAGGGACGTAAGGAATGAATAATAAGGCCATTACTGTCAGTGCTGCTCAAAATCAAACAATGCTAAGCATTGCAGAAAAATTAAATATACTCATTTGTGGCTTTGTAATATAAAAAACTAGCAGATGGATCCTCCAAATCTCTTTTTAGATATTGTACTTTATCGCTTACACGTAATCCTTACCTTACAAACAGATGCCTATTTCTCTTTGTCTGAGTAGCCTAAAGAACTGGATGAAAGAACGCGTTCATCCTCCCGTGTCAAACACCATTTTCACTAAACTCATACTTCATCAAACTGATGTAGGTGTTGTTTTTGTAAACCTAACAAGTGATAAGTAATATGTCAAATTTATTCATCCAAGGAACAAGTGTTCAAAAAGTTACCAACAACCCCAACAGCACCACTTACAGCAGAGACCCCACAAAAGGCTTCTTCACGTCTAGTATTTCTTCACAATGATCTCCCGCTAAAGACTCCCATCCTATGTTAACAATCTCCACAATTATTCAATGAGAAGAGGTAACTTAAGAACCTTGGATATTGATCATTCCAAGCCCATCATATTTTTCGCCTTGCACGTTCTCCCCCAATTGATATCATGCCGTGTTCTGCATCTCTTCTATCATCATCTTAGCAAGATAAACTTTCTAGTATTGATTCCAGTTTCAATGGCGCAGTTTTTGGGATCTCAAATTACGATAGAGAGTAGATTGGTGAACCCGGGAGGACAAGCATGCATGATACAGAAGATCATTTCACCTTTACATCCTGTAACTCTACCCTCAAATTTCTCAACCAAATATGATCAGATAGGTAAGCTTCCTACTTGACACTCTAGAAATAAGGCAATTCTATGCCTTTTCTATATCTCAATATTTAAGCTGACTATGATACCCTTAGCACAGTCACCTTTCAAGGCAGTGCCTTCTCCTATCAGCCTGGACAACCACCCCTAGAAGCCTGTGCCTTCACCTTCCAACTCTATGCATTCAAATGCCACCAAGAAGTTCTCTTGAATCAGTCTACCCAAAACGAAGGAACCTTGATTCTGACTAATCAGATTATTAATCATATTCTCGATTTTTTTTATAATAGCAATTAATTTTGGGAAAATTTTATAAACTCCCTTGTCAGAAAAAAAAACCCAAATTTCGTCCAACCTTTTAGAAAGCTAAGATTCCCTTTTCTTCCCTTCTAATTTTTTAGCACTAGTGCAAAGAGATTGCGTATGTACATGGATTATTTCTCAGAGGAACATTATATCACAGTAGTTTAAGATCTTCTCCCTTTCTTCATCATGAAGTGGCGTCGCTTCTACATTTCCTAGAGTTTAATGCAACTAAGGAAAGAACTTCATTTTATCAGACTGCAAAGTTATCCGAAGTTTAATGTTATCCAATACTCTAGTAAGATTTTTACCATCCTTCCTGTTGAAAACTAGAGAATAATTAACTCAAAACTAGAGTCATGGAGCAGATGTTTCATGGTGGAGAAACGCACTCTGTTAAAACCCACTATCACCAAATATTACAAAATATCAAAGAGAAAGTAGATCTAGTAACAAGTGAATGTATGTAGGAAATTACATGAAGAACTAGGAAAACATCAGTCCTCTTCTGAAGCTCGGACGAGTGTGCTATGAATTAGCTTAACATTGAGGTACAATCCAAGGAGGTAAGACCGGGGTTCCCCAACATGTAAAACAATCCAAGGAGGATGGAGAACAGAGCGTCGAGAAGTGAAATATGGGAAAACCTGAAACTCACAGTATCGAGAAGGCTGAGGGCGTCATTGGCTGCCTGGCGCTCCCTGCCGCCGTCGCAGGTGATGAAGAAGCCCTGTACTCTTGGGCGTAACGGGTATGGACCCTTCCTCACCGACCTCTGAAAACAAAAGACCACCAAAAAAAATCACCCGTGAGAACCCTCACTCAACCTCTCCTCTCGCCACCTCTGCCGCGCTCCCCCATACAGGCAGAAACCGTCGTACAACAGCAGCAGAAAAAGCACGCACAGAGGAAGAAAGCCAGAGAGAGAATAAACGAAGAAGAAGAATAAACGCAGAGTGAGGGTAGAAGAAAGGCAGCCTACGCCGTGGGGTAGATACTTTCTCTTCTTCACCTTGCCTCCGCCGGCGGCGGCGGCGGCAGCGCCGGCCTTGGGCTTCTCATTTTCTCCGGCCATGGAATGCGACCCCGACCCCGACCCTGTTGGGAGAGAGGCGCGAGGAGTCCCGTAAATTCGAAGGCCCACCCACCGAAATCGACGAACACATACATATTTATAGGTATATAATGTGTTATATAAATATATATACAAAGGAAATTGTCTAGTTTATGAGAGAAGGCTTAATTTGGGTGCATATGAATATTCATTTTAGAGAAATTACTCACACATATGCTAATCTCCAAGAAAAATTTACCCATTAAAATCCTTCTTCATAATCATGAACAAATATGCGCATATGAATTTCAATAATTATTTTTTAAAATAAATAAAAAAGGCTAGTAATCGCATCATAAATAAATAGCACATAATGATAGCCCAACTATTCTCATTATTCTAGAATAATTAAATAATCTACCTGAATTTTTTTTAATTATATGGTCATAAATAAGTTTTCTATGGCATAGTATTTATATATATATATATATATATATATATCTAGGGGGGGGGGGGGCGCATCTTCGGTACCCTCTGCTCTGTATGTTCATCATCTTCTTAAAAGAATTTAATGTCTAAAGGATTTCTCATTCTGCGCCAAAAAAAAAAAGTAGAAAAAAAATATTTCTCAATGGATCAATATTGTTTGATTTTCCACCTGGAAGAACATAGAAAATTTCAGGATTTGGCCGTTGACCTTTAGAAGCTGACGAGTATGTGAATATTATAAATTCATTTATTTTATCATTTTTTATTTATGACAAAGAGGTTTCCCTCGTTGGGTTGATTATTTTCAATAAAATTAGACCCCATTGATTTCAATCTGTAATGGTTTGATTCAAAAGTTGGATTCCCGGCGAATCCTAGAGGTGCCTGTGCGAGTACACCACACCCAGAGAGCTCGCCCAAACAGGTCGCCAAAACCGGATTCCCAATATCGTGGAGCACCTCGTCTACTCCTCCCGGCCATGCGACGGTGCCAGAAACACGCGACGGAATGAGCTCAAAGTCCGCCGCTGCCTCCGCTGCCGCCAAGAAGTTCTTCTTCTACCACGGCCACCGCCGCCCTTCCCAGAACCGCCCCGTCGTCCGCGGCGGCCTCTTCACCAACCGGATCGCCGCCGCCATCCCCCCCCCTCACCGCCGCCTCCCCACCGCCGCCGTTGACTTCCGCGACTGGGACCCAGATCACCGCCCTTCCCTCCCTGGTGACCGCCGCCGGTGCCCAACTGGGCTTCCTTCTTCCTCCTCCGCCGCTGCCCAGTCCCTCTCCCCCATCGCCCGCTATATCTGCGACTCCCTCCGCCGCCACGGCGGCTGGTGTGCCGCCGTCCTCTCCGACCTCCGCAAGCTCCGCCGCGTCTCTCCAGAGCTGGTGGCGGAGGTCCTCAAGCTCCAGCTCGACCCCGCCGTCTCCTCCCGCTTCTTCCACTGGGCCGGCAAGCAGAAGGGCTACCGCCACTCCTTCGCCGCCTACAACGCTCTCGCCCACGCCCTCTCTCGCTCCGGCCGTCACCGCGCCGCCGACCAGGTGCCGGAGCTCATGGCCGCCCAGGGCAAACCCCCCACCGAGAAGCAGTTCGAGATTCTCATCCGCTTCCACGCCGCCGCCGGCCGCGGCCTCCATATCCACCAACTGTTCGACAAGATGCGCCGCAAGTTCAAGCTGAGGCCCCGCGTCTTTGTCTACAACCGCATCATGGAGGCCCTTGTTAGAACGGGCCATCTCGAGCTGGCCCTCTCCGTGCACCGGAGCTTCGCCGAGGATGGGCTCAGAGAAGAGGCCGTCACCTTCATGGTGCTTGCCAAGGGGCTCTGCAAGGTGGGCAGGGTGGAGGAGGCGCTGCGGCTGGTGGGCCGCATGAAAGCCGAGCTCTGCTCCCCGGACGTCTTCGCCTACACCGCCATGCTCAAGCTCCTCGCCGCTGGCGGCCATGTCGACGGCTGCCTCAAGCTCTGGGCGGCCATGGCGGAGGAGCAAGACAAAGTGGAGCCCGATGCGATGGCGTACACGGTGATGGTGAGGGCGCTCTGCGCCGCCGGGAGGGGAAGGAAGGGGATGGAGCTGTTCAGGGAGATGAAGGGGAAGGGGATGATGGTGGACAGGGCGGTGTACGCGGCGCTGGTGGCGGCGCTGGTCGCCGGGGGGGAGGTCGCCGCCGCCTGCGAGCTCCTCAAGGAGATGATCGGAGACGGGTACCGCGTTGACCTCGGGATCTACAGCTCCCTGATCTCCGGGATGTGCACCGCCGGAAGGGCCGACAAGGCCTTGAAGCTCCTGAGAATCGCCGTCGTGGAGGAGGGGCTCTCCCCCGGGCCGGCGGCGGTGACCCCGCTGCTGGGCTTCCACGCCGCCGCCGGAGAGGCGGAGAAGGCGGTGGCGGTGGTGGATGAGCTGGCGGCGGCGGGGCTGCCCGTCGCCACCCTGCTGGAGAGCTTCTTCCTCGACTTCGCCGGCGGCGGTGGAGATGGGGACCGGCCGCTGCGGGCGCTGGAGGTCTTCGGAAGGTTGCAGGAGAAGAACGAGGAGAAGAGTAGGAGCTTCTGCAGCAGCGCCGCCATGTACAATGCGCTGATAAGCGGCCTCCGCCTGAGCAAGCAGCCGGAGAAGGCCATCTCCCTGTTCCGAGGAATGGCCGATGCCGCCGTAGAGGGGGACTGTGAGACTTACAGCGGCGTGATCCCCTGCTTCGTGGACATCGGCGACATGCCGTCGGCGTGCTCATGCTACAACAGGATGAAGGAGCTCTCGTGGGTCCCCAGAGTGGAGGCCTACAGGGCGCTGGTGAGGGGGCTATTCCATAGCGGCGAGATCGCCGCCGCCGTTGGCGTGGTCAGGGACTGCCTGGGGAGTGTCGCCACCGGCGGGCCGAGGGAGTTCAAGTACGCGGTGGCGGCGCTGCAGGCCTGCCGGAGAGGAGCAGGGAAGGTGGTGGCGGTGGTGGAGGAGATGGCGGAGGAGGGGGTGCAACCGGAGGAGGCGGTCTGCGCCGCCGTGATCGATGGGTTCTGCCGGCACGGCGGCGGCGCCGCCGCCGAAGGGGCGGCGGAGGTGTGGGGGGTGATGAGGGAGAGGGGGCTGATCACGGCGGCGGAGGAGGTCGTCTACAGCGAGATGGTGGAGGAGCACCTGAAGAGGACGGCGGCGGGGCTGGTGCTCTCCGGCCTCAAGTTCTTCGGCTTGGAGGCCAAGATGAAGCTAACAAGAGAGTTGGCCTACCGCCATTGACGCAGTGAGAGAAAGAGCGAGAGAGACGGAGAGAGAGAGAGAGAGAGAGATGTACAAATTTCCTGTGAGGCAAATTGACGAGCACTTTGTTACTTTCTTGCCACCTCGAGCATAAATAATTATTTTGGAACTCTTTGGTGAGTATAATTACCTCGAACAGGTTTAATTGTCAAATCAGGGAAAAAAATATTAATTAAACTAATTAATATTACTAAACTTATCGACTAATCAAACTCGTTAGTATGACCCATTTTCAGAGAAACAAAGTATCTTGGAGACGTCATAGCCCATTAATAATTAATTATGGAGAGGGTAACATTTAGCCTTTTGACAAAATTAGCAAATTTTATGCAACCATGATTTTTATTAATTTATCAAACTAGAACATGTAAGATGGTGCTGATGATGACGCATTCTCACTTACACTTTGACACATGTGCCGATGCATGCTGGGGAGGGGGGCTGATCTCAAAATGTTCTAATGCAAATAATTTAATAAGCAGCATCAAATAATATTATCCCTATTCTTATCTTCTCAAAGGAAGGCAACATGAATTTCCCTTTGAACTTACCCAAAATGGTAACCCCGTAAACAAAATAAATGCTTATTATCCATGGAATTTTACAAAAAAAATATTTCGCTGATTTAAGTCTGTAAAAAATTACTAATAACATATTTTTTTGTTTTAAGTTGGAGGTGAACCTTGTTGATTAAAAAGGAAAAAAAAAATAACAAGTAGAGTGAAGGTCTTTCTTGATGTTATGAAATGCTTGAAAGACATGCAGCAATTGTGACTCAAGGTAAGAATGAAGAGAAATATATATATATATATATATATATTTACAAATTTAGTATTATTTGGATGCATGAGCACTTTAATTACAGAACTAATTAAAAAAGGCTAGTCTTGAAAATTATTTAAATGTAATTAAGAAAAAAAGGAGACCAACTGTCACCTCGGTCCAACTACCATAAATAGAGCAAAGAATCAGAATCAGCACACACATTCTGCAGGGATGGATAACAATGAAACAGAGAGAGACTTTATAATATTTCATTATTATTTATTATGGCCTTCAAGTTCATGTTGACGAACTGCAGCATTCCAATTTAATACCTAAAAAATATTTCTTCGACCAATCTTGATGAGAAAATAAATGAAATTCCCAGAGCTCAATGCCGAGTGCTGCAAGACCCAATCCGGGGCGTTTTATCAAAAATCATTTATCAAAAGAGTAACATATATTCGATGATGAACTGCATAGACCTCAGACCACACCGTCACCCCACTTACATCTGCTTCAGGATTTGATAAAAGATTATGGCAAAAAACTGAGGACATCATTCACTTGGGAATCATCAAACGTTTGATTTCTCCGCTGTTTCTTCCTTATTGATCTGGACCGGATGCTTTCTATCTCAACCCAAAAGTTTCATCTACTGCTTGATTTAGAGGGTTATCTTTCTACATAAAGAGCCACCCACATATATACGTTGATGAACTGCATAGACCTCATATACAGAATCTTCAAGTAAATGGAAAATCGTGATTTTCGTGGCATCTTTAGTCAATGGGGCATCGTCATCCCACACTGTCAGCCATTTCAATCTACTTCAGGATTTGATAAAATTTATGGCAAAAAACTGAGGACATCATTCACTTGGGAATCATCAAATGTTTGATTTCTCCGCTGTTTCTTCTTTATTGATGTGGACCGGATGCTTTCTATCTGAACCCAAAAGATTCACCAACTGCTTGATTTAGAGGATTATCTTTCTATATAAAGAACCACCCATATGGTACCCGAAAAAAGGCCATCGATTCAGCAAAATTTGGCTATTTTCATGGTTTCAGAAACCCAGTTGAGCAGTGAATACCATCAAACCACCCAGTAGATTTATGCTTGAAATACTTCTACAGATCTGGTGGTGATTATTGGATTTCTATAAAAATATGCCCTGATATAAGAACAGTTGCAATCATCCAAAAAAAGAGGGGGATCACATTTATGCTACCTCTGACAGGATCTTCTTCAAGCCCTCCTCTTGGGGCGATTCCTACTCCGTGGAGCTGAAGAAGCCTCTTCAATGGTGGCGGTGGACGTTGCGGCACCAGCAGGGATGAGCCGCCCATCTCTCAGAGGAGTGGCCTCATCCTCCTCACTCCGGGGATCGCCCTCGGTCCTGCCTTCCGCCCCTTTCTCTTGCATTTTTGCCCCATCCCTCGCAAGCTGATCAGTTGAACCACAGAGGAAACTTTAGAATCAGACAAAAAAAAAGGGTTTGACTGAATTTGATTCACCAAATATGAGATGGAGCTATCCGGTATGGATGTATGGCTGCATTTGGCATTTCATCGAACACTTTTAAGGGAAAATTCATTTTCCCATGACAAAAACTCGCAATTTCACCACGGAAAGAGATGTTGGGAGTGAAATTTCACAGGTCCTGAGGTTGTGTTCGGCATTTTGTCGAACGACTAGTGCGCAATTTGGAACAATTTTTAGCCTACGAGAGGTCACCGAGGCTTTCTTGATTCTAGACGGGAAATTCGGTACGGGAAATATAGGTTTTGGTTCGATCGATGTTACCTCCTCGAGGTACCTCTGGTCGAGCTGGTCGGCGATCCGGACGGAGGCGAAGATGGTGCCGAGGATCATGGACAGCGGGAAGACGAACGCAAAGACGAGAGTGGAGGTGCTAGGGGGACCGGCCCTCACAACCAATGCGTCCCCTCTCGTCGTATCTCGCCGCCACCGCCGCCGCCCAAGCTCCGGCCCGCCACCGCCGCATGGGTGGACGGCGGTTGGAGCGGCAGGGCAGATGTGAGGAGGGGAGAAGGCTCTTGGGGGGTGATAGTGGAGCCAAGAGGAGCGGGCGCCCTCAGTCATGAAGGGGTTGAGGTAGAAGATTGGTAGGCTCGCGGCCATGAGCGTGGAGGGAGGCGGGCTGCTCCAATGACGATAGGAGGAAGAAGACGGGGGATTTTTTCCTGTAATGTTATATTATGAAAACCCAAGCAAAATCAAATAACCAAATTTAAGTGGTTATAAGTAAAAAAATAATGGGGTAAAACGAAAATTTCAATAGATTTGTAGAAACCTATATGTCTTACTTTACTATCCCTCTAAAAGTTTTTTGAGTATTTTCAATAAGACCCCATGTTTATTTTCTTTTTTTAGTGAACTACAGCCACCCACAAATTGTTCCTCAAGTACTGTCTTAATGGCATACATCCTCTAAAAAGCTTAGAATTACAAAAAAACCCCTCAATGTTGAGTTATTAGCTTCGTCAGTTGGGTCTACTGAATTGTGAGTGCTTGACAATGCTTAGAGACAAGGTCAATGAGTTGTGGAGGTTTATACGATATGTTCTTTATCTATTTATTCTTTGAGATCCTCACATATGTTTTTCCACTATGATTAGCAACCATTCCCCTACCACCATCCCATTCAGCTTGCATGCTTGATCCTTGGTGGCTCTTGATGCCCTTCTCTCCATTATTTCTATTGGGCCAAAGATAGAGTAGAGAGAAAGGCAAATTATAAGATCCTCATTGTTCATTAAATCTTCCAAGCTTGATGGACCATGATAGGAGGATTAAAAGTCATTAATAAGAGATACAAAGGGCTTATTCCTCAATCAAGGATTTTACATAGATTAAACTTTAAAAAAAAACTTTTACACATTTGTTTAACCAAGTCCATAATAGTTTTGGTGTTGAGAAAATTGTCAAAAGACTAAAATTTTGGTTTTATGGTAATCTATTACTTCTAATTGTATGCCTCAATGATGGGGTTATTATAATTTAGCCATTAAATCATGAATTTAGTGTTTGAAAGATAATATTTTAATTTTTTACTTTATGTCCTTTCACTTCTATAAGTCATTTTATGTCTCTTTCCTTCTATAAAAGACTTGAATATTGTTCAATTTATATCTAAGATCTATTCTAGATCTTTAACTATCATAATCTATACCCAAGATTTGTTTAGCATATCTATTTGTTAAAATCTGTTTCATATAATTTTAAAGTTAGTCAGAGTATTTATAGAGGATCTGTTCAAGATCTTAGTATGTTAGAATTTGTTTTGAGTTATTTCAGAGCTAGCTAGACTCCGTCCTTTCGATTTGTCACTAGTCTTTTTTCGGGACCACCTCATCTCCTTTCTAACTCTATGTAAAGGCCTTTATTGTAACTTGAAGTCTTCACTTTTTACTATGAGAACCTTTCTATTTTATTTATAGATTTAGGCTCTCTCTTGTGAATTCAAAAGTTGAAGACTTTGAATTTGTGGATTTAGAGGTTGATTTCTTCTCTAAGATTAGAGCTTTATAGATTCAAGCCTAGATATTATTTGTCTTCTGCATTACTACTATGTTAATTGGTATTAGAACAAGTCAACATTTTATTCAAAGTTTAAAGATGTTATGAGGTAAATCTACTCATATTAGTAATGATAATTTTCCTAAATTATGCCCTTTCTTAAAATTAGATTTTACTATATTACAAGATCGAATAGATTAAAAATTTAATAATATTAGTGAAACCTTGAAATAACTTTTGACAAGAATGAATATGTTAGAAAGCAATTATGACTTCCAAGAAATCATGAAATTAACTGTCCTAAAAAAGTCACTCATGTCTTGAATCTTCATCAGATACTCATTATACTTTTAGTTCTACTAGTTCTAAATCAAAATTTGAAGAAAATAATTTTTGAGATTTTTTTATGAAGATCAAATTATCATGTTTTAATGACCATTTAAAGATTGAAGAGTTTTTAGATCCATTAATTCAAATGAAAAACTAGTTTTTGAGTATATGAATTTTTTTAATGAAAAATAAGTAAAGCTATTGGCTTATAAAATAAATGGTACAACCTCTACCTCATGAGATCAGTTATGTACCACACGTATGAGGTCACACAAATAACTTGTATAATCATGAGAGAAAATAAAGAAACTTTTGACATCATATTTTCTTCCCCTAGATTATGAACAGATTTTATCTCAATTGTATCAAAATTAGAAACATGAAAATACATATATTTTGGATTATACTGAAGAATTTTATCATTTACCTTCTCGAATTGACCTGACATAATTTAAGTTATGTGTAATTTCGAGATTTAAAGATAGTCATAAATCAAAAATCAAATATAAAATAGCTTTACAGCTAGTTTTCAAACTTAATGATATTGTAATGACTGTGCAACATGCTGAACCTTTATTAGAGAATGAAAAACTAAAGTTTGAAATTTTGAAAGTTAGAATTCAACTCTTCAAGTAGATAGAGGAAGATCTTTTGTTATTTCTTCCACACTAAATAATAGACGATTGAATCAAAGTTCTGTCTAATCAAGTGGAGCAAATAGAAATCATTATACTCTTGATGTCATTTGTAAATACTATAAGTGTGGGAAAAATAGATATAAATAAAAGGTAACATTGTAAACCTTACATATTCTATCAAAGATGAAAGAGAATATGAAAAACTAGAAATTAAAGGTGATGTAGAAGAAAATTTTATTGAATTTGATATTAGAGTTGCACTATCACATTCACTTATAGTAAAAAGATTGATGTATTCATTGAAAGAAGAAGACTCACAACATCATAACATCTTCAGAATAAGGTGCACTGTGAATTCTAAAGTATATGCTATAATTATTGATAGTGGTAGTAATGAGATGGATGTTTTTCACATGATATTAAGTAAACTATGATAATTTGATGTTGATATTACACACCATGGTAAGGAAAATATTTATATTTTCTATAGAAATGATAAAAATTTTGTTCTAGCTCCAATACAAGATAGTGATTTTAACAAATGAGAAAATAAAAAAAGAAAAGTAATTTTTATTAATTAAATAGAGTTTCTTAATAAGTTTGATATTAATATTAAATTATTTGTGATTATTCAAAAACTTAATTATTGAAAGTTTCTTATTTGAATTTTTTGAAATTTAAGAATTATCTTGTCATCTTCCACCAATGCAAAATGTACAACATCATATTAATTTTACACATTAACTTGAAGAAATGTAACTTTATAATTACTAGTTTTTTATTCTTAGGATATGTTGTAAGTGTAGATGGAATCAAAGTAGATGAAGAAAAAATCAGAACTATGAAAGATTGGCCAACACCAATCACAATTGTTCAAGTTCAAAGCTTTCATGGGTTATCATCATTTTAAGAAGATTCATTCAAAATTTTAATTCAATAATATTTTCAATTACTAAATATATGAAAAATTGTAATTTTCAATAGACTAATAAAACTAGTAAAAGTTTTACTATGATAAAAGAGAAATTATGTTTTACTCATGTTGTAGTCCTGCTAAATTTTGATAAACTATTTAAAGTGAAATGTGATGCATTCATAGTTGGCATTAGAAGTGTATTGTAGTAAGAAAGTCGCCCAATAATATTTTTCAGTGATTTTTTTTTTTGTAAAAACAAAATAGACAACACATTAACTAGAATTTTATGTTGTGGTATGTGCTTTACAAACATGGGATCACTCCTTGATTCAATGAGAACTTATTTTATATGATGATCACCAAGCTCTTAAATTAGTTAATAGTCAGATTTCTATCAATAGAATGCATGCAAGATGAATTTCTTTCATTCAATGTTATATTTCGTTATTAAACACAAGTCAAAAAAATTGAATTGAGTTGCATATGTTCTTACTAGTAAAAAGACATGTTTGGTGAACTTGAATTATTATTCCTCACAAGTCTTTAAGAGATAAACTAATTACACTCTTCAAATTTAGTAGGACATCTTAGTTAAGACAAGACCTTACAATCAATTGAAGAGTGATATTACTGACCCAAACTAAAGAAATATGTAGAAAATCTTATTCGTAAATATTAGGTTTGTCAAACCTACAAGGCAATCAAAATATTGAATGATACATTATATTGTCAATTCCACAACATCTAATGGCTGATATTTCCATAGACTTTAGATTAAGTCTGCTGCAAACATAGAGAAGGACTAACTCAATTTTTATGGTCGTTGATAGATTTTAAAAAATAAGATATTTTATTGCATGTAAAACGACAAATGATGCAAGTCAAGTAGCAAATCACTTTTTTAAAGAAATTATTTATCTACATATAATTCCTAAGTCAATTACATATGACAAATATTCTAAGTTTATATCTCACTTTTGGCAAATTCTTTGAAAAAAGTTTGACATATTTTTGAAATTTAGTGGTACTAGTCACCTATAAATTGACAATCAAGCTGAAGTTTTGAACATAACTCTTGGCAATTTGATTCTTTGTATTTAAGGAGAAAAGCCAAAATAATAAGATTATGCTTTGGCTTAAGTGGAGTTTGCTTATAATTTAATCATTAATCATTCGATTAATCAATCTCTATTTTCAATAATATATTATTTTCTTATAAGAGTTTTATTAGAGTTATTACAAGTATTAAGACCAGTTAGAACTAATATATTGCAAATAATATGGCAGATCATATCAAAATACTTCATGAAGGTGTCATACATAATCTCAAAATAAATTATGAGAAGTATAAAATAATAACAGATAAGAAAAAAAGAAATAAAATATTTGAAATATTGTATATTTTTTTATACAATTTAAAATGATACAAGGGCTTTTAGTCACAATAAACCCCCGCCCACGCGCCCATCGAAGAAGATGTACTCAAGTGTTCACTTAGTACTGACCCCGTCTGAGGAGGGAGAGAGAGAGAGAGTACAGAACATCAGTACATAAAGGCCAATGCTCACATAAACTCATCAAAATACATCAGAAACAGCCCCACTTGAGGAGAGAGACAAAGAGAGGGGGGAGGGAAGCAGACTTCAAAGGGTCAGTCTGAGTCAAATAGGGTTTATCTGAGAGAGAGGGGGGCGAGGGCGGGACCGCAAGCTAGGCGACATCTGAAGCCTGTTGGCGATGAGTTTCCCCTGCGTGGCCGAGCGGCGGAAGGGCGACGGCAGCCGGCTCGATCGGGAGAGCTCCTCCTCCTCCTTCTCATCCTCCCCCTCCTCCCCTTCCTCATGCTCCCGCTCCCGCTGGAGACGCTGCTTCGGCGTGCTCAGCGACCTCGCCCTCGCCCTGGCCGACTCCGTGAAGGCCATGTAGCTCGGGAAGGAGGGCGAGCTGCTGATAGAGTCGTCGTCCCTCGTGAAGCTCCTCCTGCTGGACCGCCCCATCCTGAGATGCTCGTGGAGCTCTCCGAGGCTCCGCTGGAGCTCCGGCCCGGTGAGGCGGTGCGCCGGAGAGCGCCGCCTCGCCGGGAGCTGCTGCTGGCGGCGTCGCCGGGGATCCCAGTCGGGGCTCGTGCTCGCCGCCGGAGGTTGAGGTTGAGGGTGAGATTGCGGGTGCTTCTCCCACGGCCGGGTCTCCACCCACTGCTCCAGCCAGCTCGGCCGGTGAATCATCCTCCGGCCGCTCTCCAGCTCCTCCGTCGAGCACACCGATCGTCTGCGGAGGAACATCCTAGGCTGCTGAACGAAAGAGGAATTTCTTCAGAGGCGGCTCAGTTCTGGAGATGGATTGAGTAGCGATCGATCGATCGATTGGGAGATCCCCCCTTCTCGATCAGGAAATGGCGATGTCGTCGTCAGTCGAGGTTTGGTTGTTACCTGGTGAGCAGACGCGTACTCCATGGCCTTTTCCCGCCTCGTCGCCGCATCCTGCCTGCTTGAGATGATCGCGTTCATCGCCTCCTTCGACAGCGAGCTGCCGTTCCAGCTCTTCTCGAAACCCTAGTCCCGAATCCAAGCCACGAGAGAAGAATTGAGAGTAGTAAAACCAAGGAAGAGGAATCCATGGACGATGTTCCATATATTTCTTCTGGTGAAATCAGAACCAGCAAGGGAGCTCCATGGCTGACCTTTATGCTCGTGTTCTTCCGGTAAGCTTGCTCGTTGCTCTCGGAGCCGCGATCGTCCTCGGAGATTCGAAGCCTGCGCGCCCGAACTTGCTCCTGGATCTTGACCAGGGACTGCAGGCTCCGGAGGGTGGCGCTGGTCTGCCGTCTCACTGCTCGGCCGCGGACCAGGGCTTGGAGCTTCACGAGAGCCTTCAACGCTCGCAAAGCTTTCCTCGCCTGAATAGAAAGGACGCCGGTTTCCATCAAGCTCAAGATCAGAGACCATTATAATCCAAGTTTTCTTCGAAATCATGGCGGAGGATATCAGAAAATGATTCGGATGCTTACGAGATAAGCTCTGAAGGCGGTCTGTATCTTGATCGCCGCCATGTCGCGAGTCTTCCTGTAGGCCGAGGGCGTCCCGGTGAGCCGCACCACTACGGCGGCAGCCTGCGCCGCCGCCACAGCCGCCTCAGCGGCCGCCGCCGTCGCCACGGCGACGGCCATGGCACGCTTGCTCTGCTCCTCCTCGACCTCCTTCAGCGATCTCACCTTCCGGGATGATGCGGCGGGGAGGGTGATGGCTCGTCTCGACTTCAGCTTCCCGAAGAACCATCTCTTCCTCTTCTCTTTCTGAAAGTGGGGATCGGAGGAGGGGCTGAGCGATCTAGGGTTCTACCTGGTAGGTGCCACAGGAGAGGGGATCAAGGCCTCAGAGAATATGTGCGGGGATTCACCTTTTCCTGCTTGCTTCTGTCGTCGGAGCCGAATATCTTTTTCACTATCTCGATCCAGTTCCTCCTCTTCGCCATGGCGGGAACGTCTCACATTGTACTGCCGAAAGAGCTCGGGAGGATCAGATTGACTACGAGGAGGGGCGACTCTGGAGACGGCCTCACGCGACCACTTTCCTTTTCTTCCTCGAGATGGTTTCTGATCAGAAGATCAACGGGAAATTTGAGGAGAAAAAGGATCAAATAAGACTTGCTACAGGGAATTTCGACAAATCAACCCGGGATAATTGTGAAGGCGCTCTGATGAGATTGATTTTCTTTGTTCGTCCGAAAAAAAGATATACAGTTATGTGATGCACTCTTCAACTCCGGAATTCCATTATCAAATGAAAAACCTACAAGAATCGAGAAGAACACACCGATAAGCCACACATCCATCCCACCATCCTCGAGAATTCCAAAGCGAACCCTCTCACGCAGCCGAGACGGCGGGAATCACGCAAACAGATTCCCCTTCCGAAATCCAGAAAAGGAGGAGATACAGAAGAACGCAGAAATCGCCGCCAAAACAGTTCCGACCGTGGGCCTACCTGAGAAGGAAGAACGCCGACGACCCCGACGCTTGAGCCTCTGAGAACGTCGCAGATCCCGGCGACCAGATAAGCCTCGAACAGAGAGAGGAGTGGACTGTGCTGCGACGACTGCCACCTTCCACCTTCTTCCCCCCGTCCTTTGCAGCGAACGCCCTGGCAGTGGGAGCGAGAGAGAGAGAGAGAGTAGAGAGGGAAAGGGGGGGTAGCGATGAGGGTGTCGAGGAAAAGACAGACTGTCCCCTTTTTATGGCCGATGGAGACGGCGGCCGCTGGCGACGCCCAACTGGCACATCGCCCCATCTTCTTGATGGCCCCCTTCAAGCTCCAACACAAGGTCCCCCCTCCCTCCTCAGACCCACACAGCCCACTGGTTGACCTCCGCCTTCCACAGATTCACCCCCCCTACTCTCTTTCTCTAGGAGTACGGTGAGCGAGAAAATTTAGGATTTTTATTTAAATAGAAAAATTAGGGTAATTTCGTATTGGACGTTAGTTTCTAGAAATGAAAATATTATATTTAACCCCCGTAGGTTGGATATTGTCAATTTTTTAATGTTAATATTATGATTAATGGATTTCAATATGAGGTGGCCACTTTGTGTGAGGTGGTAGAAGGCGCGCACGTGATTTCTCTGTTAGAACCATGTGAAGAGAGAGAAAGAGCGTATTGATGGCGAGGGAGAAAATTTAGAGTTTTTATTTAAATAGGAAATTTACAGGGTTATTTATTTAATTCTGGCGCATGGGCGAGCCTTGCCGAATTCGGAAAGGGAGGCTGATTTTTTCAAATAAAAAATATTATTTGATGTCAATAAGCCGAATATTGCGAGTGTTGTTTTTTTTAATGTTAAATGTCATAATGATTAGTGGATTTCACGGTGGGGTGAGGTGCTCGGACTGGGTGGCGCACGTGATTTTTCAGTTAGAAGCACGTGCAAAGAGAGAGAATCTTGGGGTGGTTTCTCTCTCTCTCTCTCTCTCATCAATGCTCGAGTCAAAATAGTCGTGGAGCGGTCTTTAAATATAAATTTGGGACCCCACTGGCCTCACGTCTGGACGCTTCTCTTCCTCTCTTCTCTCTCTTTCTACTGTCCCTGTTCTCTCTCTACTTTCTACTCACGCTCTATCTACCTATATCTCTCTACGTATCACACACGGATAGAGAGGACAGAAGCGCTGCAACAGGAAAGCAGCCAGGTAGGAGAGAGAGAAAACGGTGAGGGAGAAAATGGAGGGGGCAACACATCATGCTAGAGATGGGGAGGGGGAGCATGAGAGGGGAATAGAACTCTGGAGAGAGAAAGGGAGACGTCTAACGAGAGAGGGAGAGAGCGAGAGAATGAGCGAGGAATGGAGGTCGAAAGAGAGAGGGAGAGAGCGAGAGAGAAGGATAGAGAGATCTAGCGAGAGAATGAGCGAGAAATGGAGGTCGAAAGAGAGAGAGAGAGAGAGAGAGAGAGGGAGAAATGGAGGTCGAAAGAGGGAGAAAATGAGCGACAAATGGAGGTCGAAGGAGAGAGAGAATGAGCGACAAATGGAGGTCGAAGGAGAGAGAGAATGAGCGACAAATGGAGGTCGAAGGAGAGAGAGAATGAGCGAGAAATGGAGGTTGAAGAAGAGAGAGAATGAGCGAGAAATGGAGAGAGAGAGAGAGATCTTGAGGGAGAGAGAATGAGAGAGAAAGAGAACGGGTGACGGCCAGCGAGAGAGAGAGAGAGAGAGAGAGAGAGAGAAACGAGAGAGAAATGGCGGCCGAGAAACGGCCAGAGCAAGAAAGAGGACGAGAGAAATAACATTAGAGAGAGAGAGACAGAGGAGAAAAGAAAGGTGGGGGGTAGAAAGTATGTTGTGATCTCAGGGATGGCTGGCAAGCACATGCATGGTCATACAGAAGAGAGAGATGGGGAGATAGAAAGAGAGAGAGAGAGAGTTGTTGTTTGACTCACCGTGGACCATGCGCACAACTGTCCAGCGGTGTCCACACTCGGCAGCAAGGTCCATCGTGCAATTGGCCCTCCCCGCCTTTACCCTTCTCCTCCAGTGAACGTACCGCGACGCAATTATCGTCCCACACGCCTCCCCAACGTTAAGGGAACTCAACGCCGCGGCTGCTAACGGGAATCCCCCAGCCCGCCTGAAATCTTTTATATACAATTAGAGACAAAATATAAATAAATATTTTAAATGCATGTTGAGAGCGCAAGTTATTTTATGAGTTAGGGCATTTCAATAAAATTTACTCTCTTTCTCTCTCTCCATCTCTCTCTCTCTCTCTCTCTCTCTCTCTCTCTCGCTCTCGTGTTATAAGATCCTTCAACCCCTCAAGATTGACTTGATGTTCCCCTTCACATAATATATAATTTCAACTAACTCTAGAAAAATCTGTAATTTCAACTAAAAAGGGACCCAATGAAAATACATTTTTTTCTGCACATCGTGATCACTAAAAGCTAATAATTCTCATCCTTTTTAAAGATTTGATCTAGAAATAGTGATCACTTTTACAAATAATTATAATATACATAAATATAGGCTCATGTTACTGGTGTAAATCTTCTAAAAATAGTACATACTGCAAAAATATTCATTTATATGAGTGCTCTAAGCATACTAGACTTTTTTTAATAATGGCATATTATTTTCTTAAATTGATTTCAGACGTCACTGGTGAATCTAGATGACCTTTAATGTTCATTTGTTTGAATAATTAGTATCTTGAATAATATTAAATTTCAATTTCCTAACTATCTGTATAGACATTTTTTCTTTTCTGATCCTCAGAAAATTTTGATACACATAGCCCCCAACACTTATCATACTACTAGTAATGCTATAAAATATATGCACATGTTAAACTAAATACTCATTTTTATATGTTGAAAATAGCTCTTATTGACCATCATGATATAATCTATTCTTTTTTAGTGATGTGATCTAGGTATTTTATTAAAGTTTTTAGCATTCAAAGCATCATTCAAGATATTGCCATCTTGTCATTCAAAGAAATCAGTCTTTAGGTTATTGTTCTAATTGATCGCTTCCTTAAGAAATGTTATGTGGATGAGGAGTAAACCCCACTAATAGTCATTTTTGAGATAGATCCAATATCTATAGCATGATTTTTTAACTTCAAGAACCTTGTTGTCACAATGTTAATGGGTTGAGACATCCCACATTGAGGCAAATAAACTAATGCAAATTTCATAGGCATAAATAATCATTATTTATTTGTATTTGGAAACATGAGAACCAGGTTTGAGGATGAAGATCATATAGACTTCCAAATGAAAATTTATTTGTTGAGTTCATGGTCATTTGCATATAAAATAATTTTTGGATTGGTTGGCTGAGGTTGAATGTTTTTCTGAACACATGAAGATCCAAGAAGAGAAGAAAGTGAAGTATGTTCCATAGAAATTGTAGGTTGGAGCATCAATATGATGGGTCTAGCTCTAGCTGAGACTTTTGATATGTTATAAAAATGTTGATTTCTTCCACTTAGTTATGAGAAAATTTTGTACTAATAGTATGAAAGATGAAATATATAATAAAATTATTGTAAAATATGAAATTTTGTAAAGTGTCTTCTCCAATGATTTTTTTATAAATTGAATCTTATATTATTTCTCAATTCAAAATTGGCCTCAAATGAGATATTGGAGAAAAAGTAACCTAATTGCCAATTTATAAACTAAATGATCTGGTTATGTGATCATAACATGTCAAATCATTAATTGAGAAGGTAAAAAGTAGATCTTGAAATTTCATACTATCTGAGATTTTCTCACAAAAAAGAAAACAAGAATATGTTTTGATGTCTGCACAAATGATAGGTGTCACTTAACAAATGGATTCTCAAGGTCTGGTGGGAAAAATAAAATGGGACAAAGTGGACCGTGAAAAAAATCCTCATGGCTCAAATGGTCATAAAAAATGTTATAGATGCGATGAGGAAGGCCACAAGTCTAATGCCCACTTAAAATGAGATGTAGCCAATTTCATAGAAGCTACTCAAGAAGAAGAGAATGATCAAAGTCGAAGATCAGAAAGATTTTATAGAATATAAAATTATAGAAGGTGATAGTAGAAAAATACTTTATCATTCATTGATCCCTAGGAGACATGCTAACATCAAAGAAGAAGCAACATCTCCAACATCACAATGTTTGACAAACATGATGCACTATTAATAAAAACTTATGTTATTATTGATGGTGGTGGTAGTGAATTTTTTTTTATAAATGTGGTGGAATATCTTGAGTTAAAAATAGAAAAACACATCTTTTAAAAGTATGCTATATAAAAATAGTTTTGAAACAAAAACTCAGAAACTTGTCTTGTCAAAATTTTAATTGAAAAAATATATTTTAAAGAAGTTTGATATGTTACTACTGACATAGACCCTTGTCACATTATTTTATCAAGGCCATGAAAATTTGACATTTATGGGGTTCAGCATGATAGGGACAATGTCTATACATTTTT